ATCAAATTAATGAATTGATATTACTCTTTGTGGATTCCAGTTGAGCAAGTCCAACTATTACATGTGTGAATAAATTGAACTCTTTAAATACTTTATAAAGACTTTGTTATTCTTCACTCTTTACCAGTTGTTGGCAGCAGGGACCTGTGTAATGTACTGCACATGAACTTTTGGTCTGAGTCTGCCAATTTCTTATTATAGAAACTGTATATATATATATATGCTAAATTAATATATTTCTAATTTGTACATGTACTTGTTTATCTGTGTGTAGGTGTGTATGGCGTGTGCAAGATATTTTGTAAGAGTTATCCCCCTTTAATTACGTTAATTTGTTTTTCGTTTTTGTGTTTATTTATTATCCGTTTCTTGTCAATCTATGAATCATTATTTAATTTATCATTCGGCCATATATGGAGAGAATATATATAGGCATTGCCTGTTATTCAATCCATTTGACTTAACATCATGTCAATAAAATTTGATGAAATTAAAATGAAACAAAATGTGTTTTAAAGTGATAAGTACTTAAGAGACTCATGGCTTTAGGCCTTTCGGTTTTAAAGAATAATTTGTTTCAATGTTTTAACAAATTCTACCACTTTAACCTTAAATATGGACTAAGGTGATTTCATTTTGCAAGTTTTGTCAGTCTACATGATAGGAACATCCCAGCCAGATATCATGCCTGTAGGCTTTTTGGTTATGGAGAAGAAGTTGTTTAAAGCAAAAGTTGACGGCGGACGGACATTGGACGACGGACACTGTGACATAGCATAAGCTCACTTGACCCTTCCGACCAGGTCAACAAAACATTTCAAATGCTGTATATTTGTCATGTACAAGGTACACAAAAACTAAGATATCAGATTCCTCGAATTGACAATTACTATTGATAAAAACTTTTGAAACTTTGAACAATCTTTAACAGGGAAGTGTAAAGACATAAAAGACATTAAAACATTAAAGAAGGATGGAACAGATTCTATCCTGGCCTGAGGTCAAATGATCTGATGATCCACTGGAATTTCCAAGATTTTTACTTTCACTTCTGGTTGCTAATGTATAAAGTAGATTTAACTACATTTTTTTAGTTGTTTTTCAATAGATATACTTTTTATTTCTGTAAGGTATGGCGAATGTAAGTTTTGATTCTCAGCATTAGGCTAAACACATTGTTAATTAATAGGTGATTAATGGAGATTACGGAATCAAAGAGGGCGAGTGATGTCAGCGCCCGAGGTGAAATCGCAAATGACCTCATTTCTAACCATATATATGATTAAGAAATAAAATTACAATTGAAATAGTTCAGTTTACCTAAATTAAAGACAATATCCTACCTTGATTATACTTTCCTATTACACGCGACTGTACGACGAAACTTCTTTCACATAGCATACAGGTGTCAGTCAATATGAGCGGAAGTTGTCCAGCTCAAAACTGCGTCATCCTGATTGATTCGGTGCTGTGTACAGTTTTAAAAATAGGCCTTAGTGCAATATGGATTTACCTGTATTTTAAATATGGCCGTCGCCCATTGTTTGGGGTTTATTTTGCTCTATAACTGAGCTTGTTATCTATAAGTGTCCAGTGACTCAATTATATTATTGGAAAGTCACTTAATTATATAAGTCGAGATTGTTAGGTCTCTGTTGTCCGAAATTAATCTCGATACAAAAAGAACAAATAAAACAGGTATACTAGTAGACAGTCCTGTTTCAAAATAGCACGTATGATTTATAACTTGAAGTAGGTAATTCATCCGCTAGGTTCTATTAATAGATTTAAATGATACAATTGCGGTATAGGAGATAGATTCGAAATAACACCCGTGTTATCATGAAGATAGCGGGAAGATAACATCAAGATCTCGGGAAGATAACATCAAGATCTCGGGAATATTACTATCTATATACACTTAGATATCAAATAGGTTATAAATAGCTGATCATTAACCGTAAAAACATGTACATATCTCCGTATCTCTGGTACTGCTGGTTAAATATCAGTACTTAGGGTATTTTAGAACGTACGAGGAATATTCATAAAAGTATTTTATTAAATATATTTTACCACTGTAGCCTTGAAGATAAGCCAATATCATTTATAAGAGGAGACTTCTAAAATTTCCATTCCAGGAATCATGGAGTCAAATACCAGTAGTATTCAACCGTTCCTATCTTATTTAATGTTAATTGATGGTTGATGAAAACTTGGAATTGTTGGAAACGAGAAAAAAAACACATCACTTTAGAGCAAAATTGATACTCTATAAATATGAATCTGACGTGTCTCACCAAATCTACAATAGTGAAGCAGAGATGTGTTATATATGTCTCTGAGTGAAGAGACAAATAATACTCAAAACTATTTTCACTAACCACGGATGAACTCTAACCAAACTTTAATCTACGTCTTCTGGATCTGTTAAAAAAGAACATCAAAGTTTAATTTTACATAGTACTCTACTCCTTGTACTTCATGGCCAAATATCAATGCACAGTTGCTAACAGTTTTACAGAAAAAGATCAATATTAACCGACGGACGGACGGACAACAGATCCTTCACCATATCAGAAGTTTGTTAACAAATTTTGCCATGTGAGCTTCAAAAGAAAAGTAAATAAATAAAAGAAGTCGTGTGTTCTTTATAATTATAATTTTTCTTACAAAGAAATCAGTAATGTATTTGTTTTCACAAAATGCATTACAAATAAAGATACTATTTGTGAATTTATGGGTTTAAGTAGTTTATCGTATCATGCTTACATAACTTATATATCTATAATATACATCTACATAAAACATGAAGATACAGAACCATAGAACAATTCCGCAGAGTAAGCAATTGTCCATTCTTTAAAAATGATAGAACACTGTGACAAATCATTTTTCTGGAATAGAGATCCAAACTGATAAGCAAGACTTACCTCCCTTCTACAATCTTTGTATGTTTGGTATACAACTAGATGGTACAGTTTATTCACTATATATATAAGGCCTCGTAGAAAACAGCTGGATCAAGGGAGGGACTTACGGTATTTTCGAAAAAGTAAAAAATACTTAAATGACTTAATAATTGATGCAAAAAATATTTCCTTCCTTGAAACAATGCTCTCGATTTTAAGAAATACTGGGAAGGACACACTTTATTGCATATATGTCACATATTTGAATTTCTGTCTTTAAATGAACACTAAATACCGTTAACAATAAAAAAAAAATGTAACATGTAACGAGTCAAATATTACAATATTCAACAATGAAATAAGTTCACTGAACTTTTAAACGGTATGAAATAATTAATGATGATTTTACTTAAAAACTTAAAGGAGGAGAGTTCCACACCTGGAAAATATCAGAGCCCCGGGACAAAGGGTATTACCTACAGATGTATAATATTATAATAACTGTACAGTTGAGACGTATCAGAGGGGAGCTCCACACCTGAAAACTAACAGAGCCTCGGAACATATTTTCATGCCTACAGGTGTATTTTATTGAAAAGTAAAAGAGCCCTGAGACAATGCATATCGTCTACAGGTGTATTATGATAATTGCAACGGAGAGACGTAATTCGGCTCATTTTTATAAGACAATGGAATGTGTTATTTTACGAAGATAATTAGAAATAAACATATATTTCACATGATTCCATTTACCTGCTTTTACCTTTTTCATCAAGATGCAGATTCAAATTTGAATCTGAACATAATATCACCTAAGACTGATATTTGAAGTAAAAAATTCTGTAGATTACTAGTTAGTTTTTCATTAATAATTACTTACTTGAAACTGTTTCTTTTTTAATTATTACTACTGCAATTTATAGGTGCAGGTTATGTCTTTGTAATACATCTGAATTATGTCATATATTTCATTATTTACTACATATCTATTATAATCATAACAAGGCAAGTGACAATATAAGATACAGACAATCCATTCAACAAAAAATACTACATGTGAGACTACACCTTAAATATAAAATATAACACTTGTTGATACAGATAAAATACAAAATATTACATTTTGTTGCTACACAATAAACACAAAATATCATATTTGTTGATATACATAAAATGCGAAAAATTACGTTTGTTTATACGCATGAAATACAAAATATAACATTTGTTGATACATATAAAATACAAAATATAATATTTTTTCTTGCTATACAAAAAAGAAATAAAAAAAATAAAATGCAACGTCATAAGTCATAAAACGATAGTTGCGTTTTAGTCATCTATTTTTAAATTTATTGAATTAAGGGGCACCTCCGCAGCTACATTTTCACATTTCTTTCGATCACTTATGAAATTTCTCTGTTGCCACCTTTTCAAAACTTAGGCCCTCAACATTAATAACGAGTCCTAGAAGGAAGAAACAGAAGTATGGTGCAGTTTCATTCATTGTTTGACTCTGCTGTATCTAACTCTAAATCTATATTAAAATTGCTGTCCGTTTGTTTATCTTTTGTGCATTCTGTAGAGTCGAAGTGCCTTTCTAATTAAAAACGTAATGTTTTAAAGGGCCCTAGGACAAGGGATACCACTTACGGGTGTATAATAACAAGTATACAAAAGAGAAGTACCGAAGCGAAGCTCCATCTTGAAAAGTAATGGACCACTGTAATAGGACTAAGACCACAATTAAATACTTCCGGGTTCAGTACCCACGAATGAAGTCCCTAAAAAATGTATGTATATTTGGGAAAAAATAATATGCCTCTTTGAATTGGATGTTTGCCTATAAATTTGCTGTAGATGTGTTATAGAGATGATAATCTAGCTGTCAGTGTGTAAATCATTCATATTGAACATGTATTTTGTGCTGCAGGATCCGGTGTAAAAAGTCCTGTTTTCACCTTTACCCCTGACCCGGATGTATATAATTGACGTTGGTGACACATATGGAGGTATATCTCCAGAAAATGCCCAACATGATGGGTTGAAACTTTTACATTTTGCTTCTCAGATGTTGATCTTGGCCAGGTGAAATGGAAATTTGCAGATGAAACTTTGGGACTTAGTTATGAATTTTAATGTTACAATGAAACATATAGTGAAATTAATTGTGGTCTTAGTCCACTGGGACAATGGATACCACCTTCAGGTGTATAATAGCAACTATAATGTAGAGACGTGCCGAAGGAAAGCTCCATCTTGAAAAGTAATGACTCCCAAAGACAAGGGATATAGCCTACAGGTGTATTATAACAATTGTAATGGAGAGACATTCCAGAGGGAGCTTCCATAACGTAAACCGAAACTAATGAAACCCCGGGGCAAAGGATATTAAGGACAGGTGTAGCATGATTTCTCCTAGTACAAGTTATCTGTAATTATTCTTATCTATATAAATGGGTAACACCATTTCCATGTTATCATAAATAACCTTAGCTCTGCCCTGGTAACAGAAAAATATTGGAAATGTAGATAATATAACCCAATGGTCAGCATTTAGACAATCTTGAAGTTTTAGTGAATCTACTCCGAACGTAATATGAAAATTTCACGTTCGAAGAAGTAAACAATCATTTGATATATAAACAAGTAACTTATATCAAATATAACACAGAAATATGCAAGTATGAACAATAACTAACTTATTCAAACAAACCTGAATTTCAATAGTAAAGTTAACAAAAGCAACAACGCTTTGTTCAATGAAGTTTCTCAATATTCTCACCTGATTTCGTTTAAATGCTCCAGTAGTGTTGACGAGAAAAACAAAATGCGGATTTCAGAATGAGCCGAAAAATAGGAACAGTTTGCCAGGAGAACCGTAATATCATTTCAAGAAAGTTGGAGCTGAATCTCACACGAGCAACCTAAGAGCTAAAGTTTAAAAGTTTACGCATGGCGCACGAAGAAGGACGTAACACGATGACTCAACGGAATTCCGATCCTTCGGATCAGATGATTTAAAAACATTCGCGGATGAAATTGATTTTTCATCAAAGACGTTAGAACTTTTTTCACTTATATGATTTATATATGTGCATGATTTGTACAATTAGAATGTAAAAGGCTGAATAACTTTACTTCTTCCTTTCTTTTCCACAGCTGTGGACAGTTCTGGGAATCTCCTTGGGCCCCTCTCATAACATACACTTCAGTCTGCCCTTTATTACTCGCAGCTTCGTTCAATCCTGTGAAATCTTTATAGATATACCTAAATATTCATGCGTCCAGTTATACAGCTCACATTTAACAAATGCTGCCCTTTGTTATCTCTCACAAAAACATATACAAATCTCCTTGCAGCTAAATATTATCTCACATGTAGCGCAGTCTGCACTAACAGAGAAGAGACATGTACTGAACACAACTTCTATGTACACCACATCTATCTGTCTCATACTTGTGCCTTCATTTTCAATCCTGCGTAGCCCTGGTTACTGTCTGGATTATAGAACGGTTTCCTGACCTTGTCGCAATATGGAGTGGTCTTTCCCCTGATTTATTCGTTTCACGTACTAAGCGTGGGTATTTTTCACACAACAGCATCACTAGCTCCTCTCTCTCCTCCTCACATGCCACATGTAGAACATTGTTATTATCGTCATACCTTGCTGTTTCAATGACATTGTACTGTTCCAGTGAACGCAACAAATTCACACTCCCTCCCCACACCACACAAAACAGTGTGTGCTTGTCGGGCTTGACTCCCTCATGTAGAAGATAAAAAGCACAATCTTCGAAACCAGATTGACATGCCTGATTCAACATTTTAAGTCTCATCTTTCCATCTGTGTATTTAACAACTTCCTTAAGTACATCCACACCTTCACCATGCATATAACTTCCTTTTACCAATTTCCACAATCCTGTGCCTTGGTTTGGTTTGACGCCCTTACGCAGAAGATATAAAGCACAATCTCTTGAAACAGAACGACATGCTTCATTCAAGAGATTAAGCTTTGCTTTGTCACTAACATATGGATAAACTTTTGTAAGTACATCCACATCTCCCTTACCGCCATACCGAATACCTGTAATCAATGGCCACCATGGTGTGTAATTGTCAGCTTTGACTCCCTTTTCAAGAAGATATGAAGCACATTCTTCTGAACCATACCAGCACGCTCTGTACAACAAGTCCATTTTCATCTCAGCATTCAGGTACACAAACGCTTTCTTCAGTACATCCACATCTCCCTTTCTATACTCACCACAGCCTGTTATCAAAGACCACCATGCTGTGTCCTTATTGGGTTTGACACCCTCACTCAGAAGATATAAAGCACAGTTTGCAACACCATAATCACATGCTTTATTCAACACAGAGACTTTATCAACCTTCTTCTCGTTCAAATACCTAAAGAATCTCCCAACGAATCCATCATCGTTCCAAACGTCTAGAGATCGAATGCCTGTAATAATCACTCTTTTGTCTAACTCTCGGAGTAGACGTTCACACAGATATGTGTATTCATCAGATGATATGGCTATCATGTTTAAGGTTGTTTTTGAGATGGTTAAGTATTTGAGAGATTCCCTGGGAGAATTCTGAATGTAACCAACTGGCGTTTTCTTCCAATACAAAAGAGCTACTGTGACATGTATTGAATCATGGTTGAATTTGTACATTTCATCACCCGTCCACCAATCATACTCTTTCACCACCAAAAACCCTATTAATTTGTCTAAACTTTCTTTTACAAATCCAACTCTTTCCATAACTGTCAAAGGACCTCTGTAGTCTCCCCCATCAAATAATTTGATGTTAAAAGCTTGATCTAACAATGTTTTGTTGATGTTATCATTGTTTGGATCGAGATCTTTTACTCTTAGCATTCCATTAAGGAAGAGAAACAAAATTGCAGAGCATTCTTGCATTCTGGATAATGCTTCAATCAAAAATTCAGACGGCTTCTCAAAAAATCGCGCACGCTCTTTTTGCAGTTGCACAGAATTATAGAAAAGATGACAACATTGGGGAAATCCAACATTGGGTGCACAAGTCAAAACTCTTTTTTTTTCTTCCTCTGTCCACGAAAATGCATTTGGTTTATACAACTCTAGCAGTGCTTTTCTTTCCTCTGCAATTTTGTATTCTTTTGAGCTTAGATCAATGATATTATTTGGGGTGAAAACTGTTCCAAAGGAACGTTTTCCCAACGCATTAAATATTTCATTACGAATAGTAAGGAGAAGAACATTTGTCTGTTTACTATCAAAAAGTACATCTACCTTTGAAATCCTTTGATTCCACTCTTGCACATCAGCATTTCCTTTATCTTTCTCCCCAAAAATATCATCAATACAAGTAACCAAATTAGAATTTGGAGATAATAAATCTAAATTTTCTATTTTGTGAAGCTGAAGAGGTTGCCTGCATTGTTGCTCCTTGATCAGCAAGTCCATGAGTTGAATGGCGGTAGAAGTCTTGCCGTCTCCTGTGTTACCCTTGATGACTATAATCTTGTTCTTTTGTAGCTTTTTTTGAGCATCACGGAAGGCTTTGGTGGAAAGGAATTTCTTCTCTTTTTCCTTTTTGATCCTTGCTACTGTTGTTTCTGAAGGAAATTTTTTTAAAAGTACGCGTGATTATACTATATACAGAAACACCTAGAGATATGTAAGGCTTGATTTGTTAACATAACAACAGATTCTTCAAATTGAAACACCTGCTAAATCATAAAAGTCTACAATTTCCATTCTTAAGCCAAATTAGCGTTAACACAAAATGTACCTTATACATATAAGATAACTCTTTTAATTTTAGTATGTGATGTTATAGCATCTCCATTCAGAGGCCCAATGGCCTTAACGGTCTTCTAATTATGAGATCTATAATTAAAACAATAAAGATACAAAAAATGGGGGAAAATGTTCAGTTCATTCACATCCCCCATGATTTTTGTTCAGTTGCACCAGTGTAACTGGTGAGATTAGGTTTAGAATACGCTTTTGGAAATGGTGATCCTGGCAGCAATATTTGATTTAAATGAACCCGCTAAATAAGTATATTTGGTCGTTTCAGACAAGTCTGAGGGTAATACCAATGGCAGAACTAGAAAAGAATGAATTAGACGTTGGGTAGATAAACCGTAAATGAACAAATATGTAGCTAATTCTTCGTCAATAATGCCCCATCGGAGGAACCCTATGTTGGTTCAATAGCATCAGTAGAGAAGAAGATGAGAATACCGATCGAGAACTTATGGGCATCAACATATTTTATACTGGTCAGTTTATGTTGCCTTGGTCCTGGTTTTAAAGAAACTGCTGTATATCTTCTCACCATGTCAAATTGACATCACTCACCTATCAAGGGTCTTAGGTCCGGGTGGGTTTCTGTAAAATGAGATCTTCAGTATTAAGTGGGTATAACATGATTGTGTATTCTAGAAAATGATTTTATTATCCAAATCCAATATTTTTTTTATTTATTTGTTTCTTTTGTGATAAATATCATACAAGTTTGGTATTTTAGTGGACAGATGAAAACTGAATATATGAGATATCTGGTATTGAGTTCAGAAGCAACAAAAAGAAATTATCAATCTTTTGTAATTTAAAGCATTACAGGAAGAGTTAGATAGGTATATGTTTTATAAGGAAATTTCAGAAATGTTGGATACTGTTTCAAGTGCACCTACCTCAACTTCATACATGAAATATTATATGAATATGATGGGGACCAAGTGAAACCCACAAATCGAATATGAGGAAAAAGCATCTACTACATGTCAAGAAATAGTGATGACAAACTTCAATCGTGGAAATCGAAGATGACTGCATCTGTCATACTGCTTTTTGGTAATCGTTCTCTATACTGACTGGACCAAAGGAAACATGTGAACTCTGAGAAAACTATGTCCAGTAAATTCTAAGAAATAACGAGAGCAATAACTGTTCAGAGACGGGCGACAACAGGAGGACTAACAGTGGACCACGGACGTAGGATTATCCCGACGGTATAATCTTTTGTGTTTCTTAAAATTGGTTCTTTCCCATTCCTTTCTCTATATAAGAATTCTTCCTAGCAAGCACCAGCAAAATACAAGATAAATTTTAGAAAGGTGTTTTCAAGACAACAAATGTGTTTTCAAAAATGACTGCCACAATGTCCATATCATATTCCCGTCCGCAAAAAAAAAAAAAACAAAAACAAAAACAAAAACAAAAAATCAACACTATGTCAGGCTCATCTCAGGGGTATGCAGTGAACAAAGAGGGAACTTTAATATAAGTTAAATAGAACAGTCCGCTCTGATAGTAAGTTTATCTACAACATAGTATCCTTGACCTTTGACCTCTGAACAGTTGATAGCTATCACTTCCAGTGAAGAAGCAACAGAAAAAGGCTGAGTATTATAATCAAAACAGAAACCAGTGTTCTATTTATAGTGACAATGACCCTAGTCTTGCTCTAAGAGCTTAAAACCAAAACATCCCTCCGACACATGAACTTCGCTTGAGCGTGACTGGGCAATAGAACTTGAGCTATTGTCCCACAAAACGAAAAACGACAGAGAGACAGAAAGCCTCGCTTCTTTAATGTGAAGCATTTATAAGGCGCTACTGTAATAATCAATATACATATTGTATAGTAATAACATCTAAATTCTTACCAGTTAAGGCTTCAATGTCTGAAGCCATCGATTTCTGTTCCTTAACAACATCTTCAACAGCTCCTAATGTAAACAAACACTTATATTAAATGGATTGCTTGTTCTATATCAGTGTTTAAATTTGAAAACAATTTCGAAAGAAAAGTTCCATCTGGTTTATTTCATATGTAATCAAGAGACATCAAAGGTTAACTCATCCTTAAACTATAGTAGAATACCATACACTATAAAATAACCAAAAAGGATGTATTGTAGTCTCAATTACGATAAAAAAACCACTCCTAAACACTAATATTGACAAAATGGTCATTGACTCACATAGATGCATTCCCCTCTCATTTTATTAAAGTGGTCAAGTGATGACTTTTGATCTATAGCCTTGAACAGTCACCATCAAAATTTAATCAGGTGCAGACCTTGGTGATAGAATACAATGATATGGATATGAACCAAATATATTTACGGATATAATAGGTTATCGCGGACGGACGGACGGACAAAGGAAAAAGTTATTACTATATTATCCCCATATCATAAGTCGGGGTATCACCGTTTTCATGAATTGATAAAATTTTCACTAATGGTGATAAAAATGACTGTATTTGTGTAACTAGATACCGGTCAGAGCTTGCCAAATGATGAAAATCACTGTGAATTCAACAACCAAACGTTTGGTGATTCAACAAAAAAAAAAAAAAAAAAAAAACATATTTAGAACAACAAGGAAATACCAACATGTCAACATAATAACAATCCCAACTCACATTCAATTAAAACTAGTGCAAAAATTTAACAAAAAAAAAGATATGCATGGATATTTCTGAAAATCACAGGGAGAATAAGACCAGAAGAGTAAGTTTTCTTCTACATCGACGACACCCGCCATGTAAACATTGGCCAATCAAAGTAAGTAATGTCACGTTCTCAAATGAGAAGAAGGTATACACCAACAACCAACAGGCAAACTAATGAGCATTAAACAAACCAGCTTGGTATCGCACAAAGACATTTTTAAATTCAGTAAAACAGAAATACAAGTACTATATTTTAAATTCATATTAAAAATTAACATTTAAATTTGCTTAATAAAGACAATGCCTTACCTTTCATGGCCCTCATGTCCGAGGCCATTGCTTTCTGTTTCTTTGCAACGTCTGTAACAACTCCTAAGATAAATAAACAACTTAAATCTCACAGTTTTGTTGTGGAATGACAGTGTATATCATCTGTATAATCGAAATCATGAAGGGGACAAAGACCCTTATGACGAGTTTGATTCATGTACCTTCAATTTAAGTCAAGGTATTTCTTCTTGTAGACTTTGTCTGGCTTCATCGATTGAAACTTCCAGCCAAATATGATGAGATTTGGGGTTTTCATAATTCAAAATAAATCATTAAATGAATAAAAGACTCCGATCATAGCGTCTCCCCAGCAAAATCGGTCACAATAATATAAACCTTCAGTTTCTTTTTCCCTTGAGAATGCAAACTGGTTTTATCTGACCAGTTTTGAATGTGATGCACAAGACTAAATTTGATTTGGACCAAAGAATTTGAACCACCTGGGGTTTTATGGCTAAAAATTGGAACCAATCAAGATATCTTACTGAGCCGAGTGTGCTCAAAATTATTTTGATTAGGCTTTGTTTTTGACAGTTTGAAGAAAGAGATAATTTAATTGAACATTCATATAAAAGTTTCACTTGTGTATTGTTGCTACCATCACGTCTATGCACTCGTCAATAAGCAAAGGAGAAAGAGGAGAAATTAATAAATACATATATGACGATGGGCGTCAAGAGACCTCTAGAATATCGTGTGATTACTTGTGCCCATTACTGATAAAACACTTAAAGGTACACTTCAACTATAACTACTAATTAGGGTTATCTAAAAACAGCTTAATATAGCCTTCACTATACTTGCCGTACAAGTCTTTTGCACAAACTCACCTTTGACTCCCAGCATGACGGCCTTGACCTCTAAGTCTGCTTCGTATTGTCTTTGAAGTGTCTCCATGTACAACTTCTCTGTTTCAGGGTCCATGCTCATGGTCAATATCTCATTCAATTTTCTCACATAAGTGTCTCCTGTCAGAACGTCTCTTTCTAGCTCAGAAACACACTGACACATGTTGTCCCATCTTTTCTTAAACTCATCATCGCGCAGTGACGCAGATGGCAGGTGTCCATACGTCTCATTACGCTGGATTCTTAGCCGTTCAATATTGGCTGCCGGCGATCTGTCTGTGCTGTCTGGTGTCTTGCCCCATCCCTTTTTAGGAGCTGTAATGTTTATACCCTGGATGCTGCGAATTAGTGCATACAAAAGTGATGAATCAACTTTCTCCAGGGAGAATTCTTCTGTCGAAGGATATAGAATCAGTTGCTGATACCCCTTTATACTTTTACGGAGATGTGATTTTTGACTTTTAAGAATGTCAGACAAATCTCCTGGAATAGTGGCTTTAAGCACTGATCTGAGAATATCACAGCACACACCAGCAATTGCACAGGACATTCGGGCAAAGTTGGTAGTTTCAGCTGTACAGACGTGCCTGAAGGCCATTTCGCTACTGATTCAGAGAGAAGGAAGAGGGAAAGCTGGAAAATAGAGGTAGCAAACATGAATAAGAAGGAAACTGATAAATTCTGCGACGTATCCATCATTGAACTGGCATGTCATTCTGTTTTGAATTTGACCCCAAAGACAAAATACTTAAACTCTTCAGCAAAATCTTGATATGATTGTCAAACTTAGTCTTCCATGGCAATGGCATAAAAGGTCATATTAACCACCATAAGGTTAAGAATTCTCACATTCACCAGGATAAGCCTTACATATAAATAGATCCCAATCATCAGCATAAGACTTACATATATAGGTCACATTTTACTTACAGAAGACTTACATGTTTGTATAAGGACAACGGACATTGAATATTAAAAGCTGATGGTAGGAGGATAGACGTCAGTGCCTGAAATGAAATAACTAAATGAACAATTCGATCGTTTTTCCAACGATAGCATTTAAATACAGTTACATTTTCAGTAGAATTAAAATTCATTTTATGATTCCATATAGATTGTATCATGCCATGTTGATAAAGATATCTATTAAAGGGGTATTAACTTGTTTAAATGCTTATCGACGACTTGGAAGAACAAAACGGAAGGAAAATTTGAACATCCGGGCAACACTATTAATGATGACGTCATTTCCCGAGAATGATTGAAATGCCTGATGGAGTTCAATTCGACAACCTCATGCTAGATCATTTTGAAACAAGCAATTGTTTTGCATTACACTACAAAATAGGCTTAAATGGAATACACATATAAACAACATTACGGTCAATAAAATCATAACTTAAGGATTCCTCGGCCCTTAGACTAACCTTAACCATCGAACAAAAAGCAATATTCTAAATATATAACGCTTTTCGCATTGAGGATACCAACTACAAAAACGGGATATTGCAACCCCAAGCAGCACGTTGGGTTCGTCAGCGACAAATATCACATCACCTAACAAGATACACAAACTCCAACGGCCATCACTTCAAACGGAAAGACTATACACCAAACACACACTAGACTCATACTTTAATACAAAATAGTACACCATCGCTGTCGACCCCTTTAACATCCTCTTTCCTGTTGACACTTGGAACGCACTTGCACACAAACTGTTGCATTTAGATTACTGCAACAAAAGATACATACAGATTTTTCTTGTTACATGTTTTTAACACATTGACAGTTGCAACACAGTGTACAACACTAGAAAGCCTCATGTCACGTATTTCATACATAGCTCGGGACAATCTCAAACTATCATAATGAACAGTTTTCATTGTACTCGCACATTTGAGGTAGAAAAGTCCTTGATAGGACTCTGGAAACCATGCCCGGAACGAAATACATCTTCACCGTAAGAACAGAATGAATAATTAGTCCTTTTTTTATCCTGCGAAATAAGCAGTTCGATTACTTAGAGGTAGAACTATGGTTTTAGTACAATAATGTTTACATACAAAATAAAGATTGTATCATGTCAGTATTACCTGCTGGTATATACATCTAGGTACGAGATATCTCCATGTTAGTTGCCCCAGACAGCTAACGTCAACTGACCAAATAAGGCAATTAAATTTCAAATGCTTAATCGAGCTACACAGCAAATGACGTCATTTCCTAAGAATCACCGAAAGGCCTCTATAGGCCACCGAACGCTAGAACATGTAGAAACATGCACACAAACGCTTTAGAGTGACACTAAAAATAACATGAAATAGAATAAAAACAGTAACAACATTACAGCCGATGCGAGCACAACTTAAGGATTAATCCAACTTATCTTTACACTTATTCGCCAAACTTAAAAGAACATGTATAAAAACAATGTTCAGACCAAATGTACATGTAGCTGCTGATTTGTGCTTATGGTAAACACACAAAACAAACTAACTACAACAACAAAAAAAAACTACAGTGATATGTTACGTCAGTAACAAATATCACACTGACAGATTAGTAATGCAATAAAGATATATCACACTGACAGATCAGTAATGCAATAAAGATATATCACACTGATAGATCAGTAATGCAATAAAGATACAACAAATATCAAACTAACAGATCAGTAATGCAATAAAGATATATCACACGGACAGATCAGTAATGCAATAAAGATATAACAAATATCACACTAACAGATCAGTAATGCAATAAAGTAATGCAATAAAGATACAACAAATATCAAACTGACAGATCAGTAATGCAATAAAGATATATCTCACTGACAGATCAGTAATGCAATAAAGATATAACAAATATCACACTAACAGATCAGTAATGCAATAAAGATATATCACACGGACAGATCAGTAATGCAATAAAGATATATCACACTGACAGATCAGTAATTCAATAAAGATACAACAATACAAGATATAACAAATATCACACTAACAGATAACAGATCAGTAATGCAGTAATGCAATAAAGATATAACAAATATCACACTAACAGATCAGTAATGCAATAAAGATACAACAAATATCACACTGACAGATCAGTAATGCAATAAAGATACAACAAATATCACACTGACAGATCAGTAATGCAATAAAGATACAACAAATATCACACGGACAGATCAGTAATGCAATAAAGATACAACAAATATCACACACAGATCAGTAATGCAATAAAGATACAACAAATATCACAGACAGATCAGTAATGCAATAAAGATAGTAACAAATATCACACTGACAGATCAGTAATGCAATAAAGATACAACAAATATCACACTGACAGATCAGTAATGCAATAAACATACAATAAACAAATATCACACTGACAGATCAGTAATGCAATAAAGATACAACAAATATCACACTGACAGATCAGTAATGCAATAAAGATAAGGCAACAAATATCACAACAAATATCACACAATAAAGATATATCACAACAGATCAGTAATGCAATAAAGATATAACAAATATCAATAACAGCAATAAAGATACAACAAATATCACACTGACAGATCAGTAATGCAATAAAGATATAACAAATATCACACTAACAGATCAGTAATGCAATAAAGATACAACAAATATCACACTGACAGATCAGTAATGCAATAAAGATATAACAAATATCACACTGAAAGATCAGTAATGCAATAAAGATAAATCACACTGACAGATCAGTAATGCAATAAAGATACAACAAATATCACACTGACAGATCAGTAATGCAATAAAGATCACACTAACAGATCAGTAATGCAATAAAGAACATATACAACAAATGTACATGTAGCTGCTGATTTGTGCTTATGGACAGATCAGTAATGCAATAAAGATAACAAATATCACACTGACAGATCAGTAATGCAATAAAGATATATCACACTGATAGATCAGTAATGCAATAAAGATACAACAAATATCACACTGACAGATCAGTAATGCAATAAAGATACAACATAAAGATATAACAAATATCACATAACAACAGTAAAAACAAATAAAGATATATCACACTGACAGATCAGTAATGCAATAAAGATCACACTAACAGATCAGTAATGCAATAAAGATATAACAAATATCACACTGACAGATCAGTAATTCAATAAAGATATAACAAATATCACACTAACAGATCAGTAATGCAATAAAGATATATCACACTGACAGATCAGTAATGCAGTAAAGATAATACAAATATCACACTAACAGTTCAGTAATGCAATAAAGATATAACAAATATCACACTGACAGATCAGTAATGCAATAAAGATACAACAAGTATCACACTGACAGATCAGTAATGCAATAAAGATACAACAAATATCACACGGACAGATTAGTAATGCAATAAAGATACAACAAATATCACACACAGATCAGTAATGCAACAGATCAGTAATGCAATAAAGCAATAAACAAGATATATCACACGGACAGATCAGTAATGCAATAAAGATATATCACACTGACAGATCAGTAATTCAATAAAGATATAACAAATATCACACTAACAGATCAGTAATGCAATAAAGATATATCACACTGACAGATCAGTAATGCAATAAAGATACAACAAATATCACACTGACAGATCAGTAATGCAATAAAGATACAACAAATATCACACTAACAGATCAGTAATGCAATAAAGATACAACAAATATCAAACTGACAGATCAGTAATGCAATAAAGATATATCACACGGACAGATCAGTAATGCAATAAAGATATAACAAATATCACACTAACAGATCAGTAATGCTAACAGATCAGTAATGCAATAAAGATATATCACACGGACAGATCAGTAATGCAATAAAGATATAACAAATATCACACTGACAGATCAGTAATGCAATAAAGATACAACAAATATCACACTGACAGATCAGTAATGCAATAAAGATATAACAAATATCACACTAACAGATCAGTAATGCAATAAAGATACAACAAATATCAATAAAGATACAACAAATATCACACTAACAGATCAGTAATGCAATAAAGATACAACAAATATCAAACTGACAGATCAGTAATGCAATAAAGATATAACAAATATCACACTAACAGATCAGTAATGCAATAAAGATACAACAAATATCACACGACAGATCAGTAATGCAATAAAGATACAACAAATATCACACGGACAGATCAGTAATGCAATAAAGATACAACAAATATCACACTAACAGATCAGTAATGCAATAAAGATATATCACACTGACAGATCAGTAATGCAATAAAGATATATCACACTGACAGATCAGTAATGCAATAAAGATACAACAAATATCACACTGACAGATCAGTAATGCAATAAAGATATAACAAATATCACACTGACAGATCAGTAATGCAATAAAGATATATCACACTGATAGATCAGTAATGCAATAAAGATACAACAAATATCACACTAACAGATCAGTAATGCAATAAAGATCAGTAATGCAATAAAGATATAACAAATATCACACTGACAGATCAGTAATGCAATAAAGATATAACAAATATCACACTAACAGATCAGTAATGCAATAAAGATACAACAAATATCACACGGACAGATCAGTAATGCAATAAAGATATAACAAATATCACACTAACAGATCAGTAATGCAATAAAGATATATCACACTGATAGATCAGTAATGCAATAAAGATACAACAAATATCAAACTGATAGATCAGTAATGCAATAAAGATATAACAAATATCACACTAACAGATCAGTTATGCAATAAAGATACAACAAATATCACACGGACAGATCAGTAATGCAATAAAGATACAACAAATATCACACTGACAGATCAGTAATGCAATAAAGATACAACAAATATCACACGGACAGATCAGTAATGCAATAAAGATACAACAAATATCACACTAACAGATCAGTAATGCAATAAAGATATATCACACTGACAGATCAGTAATGCATATAAAGATATATCAAATATCACACTAACAGATCAGTAACACAACAAATATCACAGATCAGTAATGCAATAAAGATATAACAATAAAGAATATCACATGACAGACAGTAATGCAATAAAGATATAACAAATATCACACTGACAGATCAGTAATGCAATAAAGATATAACAAATATCACACTAATGCAAGATCAGTAATGCAATAAAGATACAATATCACACTGACAGATCAGTAATGCAATAAAGATACAACAAATATCACACTGATAGATCAGTAATGCAATAAAGATCAAGTAATGCAATAAAGATAATAACAAATATCACACTAACAGATCAGTAATGCAATAAAGATATAACAAATATCACACTAACAGATCAGTAATGCAATAAAGATACAACAAATATCACACGGACAGATCAGTAATGCAATAAAGATACAACAAATATCACACTAACAGATCAGTAATGCAATAAAGATACAACAAATATCAAACTGACAGATCAGTAATGCAATAAAGATATAACAAATATCACACTAACAGATCAGTTATGCAATAAAGATACAACAAATATCACACGGACAGATCAGTAATGCAATAAAGATATATCACACGGACAGATCAGTAATGCAATAAAGATATAACAAATATCACACTAACAGATCAGTAATGCAATAAAGATACAACAAATATCACACGGACAGATCAGTAATGCAATAAAGATATATCACACTGATAGATCAGTAATGCAATAAAGATACAACAAATATCACACTAACAGATCAGTAATGCAATAAAGATACAACAAATATCACACGGACAGATCAGTAATGCAATAAAGATACAACAAATATCACACTAACAGATCAGTAATGCAATAAAGATATAGCACACTGACAGATCAGTAATGCAATAAAGATATATCTCACTGACAGATCAGTAATGCAATAAAGATATAACAAATATCACACTAACAGATCAGTAATGCAATAAAGATACAACAAATATCACACTGACAGATCAGTAATGCAATAAAGATACAACAAATATCACACTGACAGATCAGTAATGCAATAAAGATATATCACACGGACAGATCAGTAATGCAATAAAGATATAACAAATATCACACTAACAGATCAGTAATGCAATAAAGATACAACAAATATCACACTGACAGATCAGTAATGCAATAAAGATACAACAAATATCACACGGACAGATCAGTAATGCAATAAAGATACAACAAATATCACACTAACAGATCAGTAATGCAATAAAGATATATCACACTGACAGATCAGTAATGCAATAAAGATATATCACACTGACAGATCAGTAATGCAATAAAGATATAACAAATATCACACTAACAGATCAGTAATGCAATAAAGATACAACAAATATCACACTAACAGATCAAATATCACACTAACAGATCAGTAATGCAATAAAGATATATATCACACTGACAGATCAGTAATGCAATAAAGATATATAAAGATATATCACACTGATAGATCAGTAATGCAATAAAGATACAACAAATATCACACTAACAGATCAGTAATGCAATAAAGATATAACAAATATCACACTGACAGATCAGTAATGCAATAAAGATATAACAAATATCACACTGACAGATCAGTAATGCAATAAAGATACAACAAATATCACACTAACAGATCAGTAATGCAATAAAGATATATCACACTGACAGATCAGTAATGGAATAAAGATACAACAAAAATAAACTTCAATGGCCATCCTTTCTAACAGGAAAACAACGCAATAGAATTATACTGTATTACAAATTAGTACACCAATACTTACCTCTCAACCTCTTTCTTGTTGACATCAGAAACGCACTTGCACACAAACCGATGCATTTAGGTAGGTAACTGCAACAAAAGATACATACGAAAATACATCTTCACCGCAAGGAAAGGAAGAACAATTAGTCCTCTTTTATCCTGCCTGCGATATAAGCAGTTCGATTACTTAGAGGTAGAACTATGGTTTTAGTACAATAATACAAAATAAAGATTGTATCATGTCAGTATTACCTGCTGGTATATACATCTAGGTACGAGATATCTCCATGTTAGTTGCCCCAGACAGCTAACGTCAACTGACCAAATAAGGCAATTAAATTTCAAATGCTTAATCGAGCTACACAGCAAATGATGAAGTCATTTCCTAAAAACAACGGAAAGCCCCAAGTAATTTCCGATTCGTGTAACCTGTATTACAAGTGATTGTACAATAATTATGATACTGCTTCTTGTGAAAATATCTCAAGTCAGTTAAGAGCCACATGATAAATCTACTGGTCTTAGTATAGTGCCAATTCTTTAACTTGGAATAACATGGATCGTGTTGTTAATGTTTACACACGTGTTTGTATGTTGAACTTGAGTGAATGATATGATATAATATAAAAGGTTTTAAGGTTGAGGTGTAATCCTAATTCATAAGCGATCTTTCTGGTGTACTATGTCCTGTAATCTATATACAATATTTAGCATTTCTATTGATACATAAAGCATTGTTCTAAATTTGTGAGTGACAATTCACTAAAGCTGTAAGGCTTTCACCGTATAACAAAATTGTATCAAAACTCAAAACTGACAACACACTATACTGAAATACTTTTGGTTAGTCAGCAGCAGTTGTTATGAGGTTTTAATAAATTTTACCCAAGCTGTGTCCTCGAATAAATGTCAATAACGTTTCATTTTGCAAAAAATATGTTAGGCTTCATCCTAGGAACCTTTCAGCCAGATACAGTTCTTTTGCGCCCTTTGATTCGTCAGAAGCAGTTGTGATGTGGTTTTAACAAATTTGACCCCAGCTGTGAACTTAAATTTCCCCAGAGGATCAAATGTATTTCTTGTTACGTTTTTGAATAGTCAGGTTTAACAAATTTGCCGCCTTTGACCTTGAATATGAGTCAAGTTCTTTCCTTTTCTCAAATTCTATCGGGATTCATCTAATGAACCTATCACCCAAATGATATTCGTCTGCGCCTTTTGATTAGACAGAAGTCGTTTTGAGGTTTCACAAATTTATGTAAATAGAAATGGTGTTCATTTTGTGATTGCCTTGATAATTAATTTGTTTTTGTTTTGGAATAATAATTTTAAATTCTAAAATTCAACTGCACACGTGTGGAGACTTTTTATGGTTAGCATGGAAGAGTTTCTCATTTATTAGGAAGAAGGAAATTTATTAGAATAAGTAATGTACTTTCCAGGATCTGCATAACAAGATGTATACCTTTCAGTAACAAAAAAAACACTTAATGTCGCAACTCTCCTATTCTAAATATGACTAGTACTTATTTTAAGAAACTGCGTTTTAGCTGATATTGGATAATTTACAATAATCTATTTTCTTACCTTGATTGCTTGTTAAATGATTAATGTTAGTTTGGAACATATGTCCATAATACTTTATTTCACTAGAAGTTATGAGAGTATTTGTAGGTAAATCTGATGGAAGCCAAAATTTAAAAAAAATAAGTCATGGCAGAATTGCGAAACAAGCATTGCTTTTCTGGCCTAACCAGCAAAAGGATAGTCCACAAAATGATATGAATCTAACTCAAATGTTTCGGGAAATACATAGGTTTTTCATGCTAAGAATTTGGGGTTGTAACGTATTTTTTTGTTTGTTTGTTTGTTTGTTTGTTTGGGGTTTTTTTATTTGTTTTTTGTTTTTGTTTTTGTATACTGATAATTTCCAGTTAAGCAAACGTAAAAATTCTGAACGTGTTATTTGTATATCGGATACAGGTTTATCGACATTTTACTGTCCCCATGAAAGAATGATGTGCACAAATTCAATTCGTCAGACGTCACAACGATATTTCTTATTTGAAATTACACTTATAGTTGTATACAGTATTGCACCCCTTCCGAGAAAAATCTAAAGACATGGGACCAAAACTGAAGATACAGAAAGTTCTGCTGATATGATGCTTCAAAGTGTTATGATCAAACTGCATAATGTATAGCCAAGCATCATACCTGGTACATTGTGGTAACACAAAGAAATCCCTAATGATTCCCTGTTAAACAACTGTGCTTTTTAGACGTACTTCTATACAGCCCTCATTATCAACAACAGTCTTTTCTTTTCAGTAAATGGTTTTGGACACATTTTTCATAACTTTGGATTTTTCTCTGAAAGTGTCAATACTGTATGTATAGTACAGGTATCGTATCTCTCTTGGCACATAGAAAAACGCGGGAGCTTCTTCCGCTCCTTTCAGTTTGCTGAATATGCATATTACAAGGACAGAACAAGTTCTCTTGTTGGTGAGCGCTGACACCAAAACAAGTCAAATCGTTCCAAAGTAGGATAGTAGAAATGAAAAAGAAAAGTTCGTTAGTTGTTGTTAGAAATTTGGCGAAAAATAGTTTTGAGCGTCACAGAGATTACATTGCGAGTTTTTAACACTAAAGGCGGCAATAAAAAGGATAGATGATTAGGCGCGAGTTTATTACTTATTTTGTAGAATATCTGTAGTTTTTTTACCAGGCCTCGTTCAGCGAAATGTTCTGCTGGTATATGCTGGTAAACCTGTAATAATTCGAGCGCATTCCAACTTGCTTGCCACTTTTGTTTTGTTTTGTTTTGTTTTTTGGGTTTTTTTTCACCCTCGCCAAAATACAGTTTATATCTTAAGACACTGACCATGTATTCTCTATATAAAAGCAGTCCCAACAATCCAACAATAGTTGTGACTTCGTGTTCTGAAAGGTTATTAACTATGTCAATTACGTGAGAATTTTTAGAAATGCACGTGTCAGATATTAGTAAAGGGTCAAGTAATTAGCGCTCGTGTGTGCGTGTTGGACTGTCTATTACATTGGTCAGGTGAAATGAGTGGATAATACCAGAAATTACATTACATTACATGTCCAGTCGGGGAACAACTCACGGAGTTCATCAATGTGCTCTAGATGATAGCTGTTCTTTTTGTTGTACAATCCCTTCGAGGGATTTTGCAATCCAAAGTGGTTTTATGGCTCCCGACAACTCCACAGTTGTTGGGAATCTGGGAAAGTAAGGGGGCACAAGTTCTCAAGTCCTGTGCGCTCTGGCATTTCTTCTCTGTCAGGACTTGCAACTGACTACCCTTGTCAAGAATCTTCCATCCTGCGGATACTTTCTCAATGCGCCGCCAGCCGGTATTTACGGAGTGGATTTTGTCAAGTATGGGACAGGCCGCACGTTGACATGTTTGTCACCTCCATGAACGATTAGCTTCCAGCTCTCTAGTCACTTTGGTTCCATATCCCAGTGCTTTGGAAGTGGACGCTCTGTCTCTCAACCAGGACGGTTATGTGTTTCATCCGTTCAATCTAGTGGACAGGATGCTTCAGAAGTTTCGGGACATGTGTGCTTCCTCCTTCTGATAGCTCCTCTCTGGCCGAGACAGTCTTGGTTCCCACGGTTGTTGTCTCTTTTGTTGGAAATCCTCTCGTTCGTTCTTCCAGATGGAACCCTCTCCGAAGTCCTCGGACATAGTTGATGCATGCTGGTCCAGAGATCCTCCACCTTCACTCGTGGAGGCTTTCACAGAAGGTCTCACTCAGGCAGGCTTTTCTGAGAAAATTTCAACTCGCATTACAAGAACCATCCAGACTTTCTCTTCTGCCATCTACCAATCCAGTTGGAAACCTTTCTGTGCTTGGTGTATCGAGTTGGAGGTTGGTTCGGTCAAAGCATCTGTCTATGTGATAGCTGACTTCTGTTTGAGACTTTTCAATGAGCGCAATATCGCCCTGGGCGTTATGGTGTGTATCGCTATGTTCCTCATTGGAATCTAGCTCTAGTTCTTGAATCCATAGTGAGGGCACCTTTCGATCGTATGGGGGTTCTGCTTCTTTGAAGTCTGTTACCCTCAAGACCATGTTCCTCATTTCCTTAGCCTTGCGATGTAGGAGGAGTGAGGATAATGAATTGTCCTCTCCTGTCTTCGTTGATCTAGGAACATTTCCTCAGTCACCCTAGTTACTGATCCAGCTTTTCTTGTCAAACATCAGGTGCCTGGGTCCCGAACCCCAGCTGTCAAGATTCCTGCTTTGTCAGATTGTATAGGTCCTTGGTCATTCATTCGGAGGGTCTTTACACTACTTTGGGACTATAGGAGATAGCTCAGTCTACTGCTATGCCTCCTAAGTCATAGAAGATTTCCTGTGTTTTAATTTATACTGGCCAGTATCTCGGTGTGTTGTTTCCCGTCCATTTATTTTAGAGTTTCTTGATGCCTTCTTTCTTGCATGGATGTCCATGCTCTTGTTGCCTCGCTAACGTTGTGGTATGTTTTACTGAAATGAAATTGAAGTTTTTCTTGTAAAACCAATTTTTATTATGTATTTCTTACCACAACTTAATTGAGTCCAACCTGGCCCCCCCTATTCTCATCTTCCTGTGCGACAAAGCTTTGCCAATTTTGGTTCAGCGGATGCTACGTAATATGAGACGTTGTGCATAGTTATTGGGGAAGGTAGGCGGGATTATTTAAAATCCTTGTTAAGGTGATACAAAGATGGGTGTAGACATTGAACATACATACTAAAGTCATGAATATCGGTTTGACAAGAAAACATATCGATTTTCACCCATACATAGGATGTTCCTGACAAAATCCTTCCCGATAGGAATACTATTAGGTAGTAGTGTATAAAAAAGGAATATCTAAAGCTACTAGACATACATTTATACATTTTCATTTGAAGTTTCACTTTGAAACTGGGAGCTAACACAACACTAAAAAAAAGTGTTTGAAATGATATTTCCTCTAATGTAAAAATGTTATCGTGAGAATATCGCCAGGATTACATTCCAAATTCCAAAAGACCTGTAGCAGTGTCCAAGGAGACATTAGGATAAACAAATCAAATCAACACACCTCGTGACATGATTTGGTGTTAGTAAGAAGCAATGTGAGTGTGAAGTCGTATACAGTACAAATGACAGCACAGCTTACTGAAGAAGAAATGATCTTGAATTTCACTTTACATCCGGTGCTACATAAGTTAAAATGTGGTGTTCTTCTTTTTCATTTCTTTTGTTTCTGCTTTGAATGACATTAGAGACTTTTTAGCACGGGAAGAAATCGGTTGTTTCAGTTGACGAATTTTGTCTTATCAATATTATATGTCTATATAGTTGCTGTTGTAGACACAGAGAAATGGAGGCTTGTGGAAAACAAAAATTGGCAATTTTCTTACAGAAAGGTGAAATCAGAAATAGGTTTTATTGTGCAATAACTAACAAGACTTCCCTCGAGAACATGATTTTGAACTTTAACAGAAGTGTTATGACTGCGAGAAAAAACATCTATCTGACCATACCTAATTTGTTTTAGTTTGTGTTTCGGAAAATAAAATATAAAGCTACCTATGATGATTTAATCAATTTTAAACCTTTTTTTCTTTTTTTTTTCCCTTTTTTTATGTTCGTGTGGAATATATAGGACTATGAGGATTTAAGTCCACTTGAAAAATACTTACTTCAGTAGACTTAAGACTAAGATAAATATATTCATTGTATATCTCACCCTACATTGTACCACGAACTTAGAGGGTACTAAATCTCTATATCGACAAGTCCGTGACAAAAATTAAAAAGTCTCGGACAAAAATAGCGCAACGTAATTATCGCCTTATTTTTTTCTCAGGTGAAACTCAAGACTCTTTAAAACACTTTAGTGTTAACGTTCAATGTATAGTAATAGGTCAGTGTAAGGTATGCCCGAATTCCTCAATAAATACTTGACCACACGGTGTGGTCATTCAGGTGTTAAAGCTTATAGCTATCCCACGTGAATGACCAGGCTTCTGTTATGACGACGAGACGGAAGTGTTTGTATTAATAGTCATTAACTACACTGTAAATAACTGTAAGACTGTGTTACATAAGGTAACCAGGCACGTACCTGTATAAATGATATCCAATTAGCCATTCTTTCCATCATCTTATTTTGTTGTAAATAAACAATATAAAAAAAACCAAATACACCTTTTGTTTATGACCATCAGCCGATTTTTCGTGTGTAATCACTTCATAATAAATACTTGGATTTGCAAGAAGCTTGGTACGCATGCCATTTTTTTTAATCCGGAACTTACACAGCACGTCTTCTAAATACACATAGGTCAAACTCTACTTATAGATCTCCAGTACGTCGGTCTCGTGCCGATTCCTTGACATGATTGTTATAGTGAAGTTTATCAATAATTAACCATGCTGAAACAATCAACTGGGTCATGTTAAGTTGAGTGAGTTGTATGATTCTAACAAAAACAAGATGCCGCCTAAACCGAAATCACCGAACCAAAGACCGCCCAGACCACCACGGGTCAGACAGCCTCCACCGGACAGAGATGTTAAAAAACTCAACTCTCATATCAAGGTAGGTAATATATTTACTTCTAGGTTAAGTCATGGTTACCTAAAGCTTAGAAATACAAAGGACATGTACCGCACATGTATAAGAAATGGACACAGGCATGAGGAGTCAGTTTGTAGTGTGGGATAATGTGGAGAGTGTGGAGGGGGCAGGCGGGACAGGGCACAGTGAACGATAATGTGGAGAGTGTGGAGGGGGCAGGCGGGACAGGGCACAGTGAACGATAATGTGGAGAGTGTGGAGGGGGCAGGTGGGACATGAGACAGTGAACAATAATGTGGAGAGTGTGGAGGGGGCAGGCGGGGAGAGTGTGGACAGGGCACAGTGAACGATAATGTGGAGAGTGTGGAGGGGGCAGGCGGGACAGTGCACAGTGAACGATAATGTGGAGAGTGTGGAGGGGGCAGGCGGGACAGTGCACAGTGAACGATAATGTGGAGAGTGTGGAGGGGCAGGCGGGACAGGACACAGTGAACGATAATGTGGAGAGTGTGGAGGGGCAGGCGGGACAGGACACAGTGAACGATAATGTGGAGAGTGTGGAGGGGGCAGGCGGGACAGTGCACAGCGATAGGTCAAAGTTGCACCAGCGGAATTGAGCGAAGTCTGATTATAATTAAGGACGGGAGAAAAGGCAGGATTTGAGGATAGAAAATGTGATGTGATAGCGTGGGATAGGACACGATTAATGACGTTGGGAGAGCGGTTGTATGCATACGGAATGAGGCATAGTCTTTGACAAGGTGAGGATGGAGATGCAGAACTAAGGTATATTTTAGGCTGAGAACATATATTTTAATGTTTGGTATTTCAAACTACATGTATTACAGTTTGTTTACTTGATTTTTTACAGATCCGATACACGGACACACTTGCTGAGCCTGGCGGAACACACAGTGTTGGATGCATCTGGCAATTCGCTTCTATTGGTTACACCTGCTGTCGTGACTTTCACTACTGCTTACTAAGTACATTCCTGAGCATATGGATAGCTGGTTTTTGGGGATGCCAGTTCGGATTTCTTGCATTCGAACATGTATGGTACTTTTCACCATTTATGAAATGCATAAAAATTACATTTAAAGAAGTTTTCCAGATATGTTGTCACATGACATGCAGGTGCTGCATCTATCCGTGGACCCGCGCGTGTTCATACTTTTTCGTTCATTTTAAATCTGATGACGTTGATTATGACGCAATAGACAATCCGCCCGTTTTGCAGCGGGTGAAACAAGTTCGGATTGTACAAGAGCAGCCAGTCGTTGCTGCTGATCCTACAGAATACAATGATCACGTGACAAATATGTTCCTTGGAGACAAAGAAAAAATGAGAAGATCCGTGAATCGGCAACTGATGCTATAGTCAAACATCTGAGGAATGTTTCCTCAAGTTTTCTTATGTTGGTTGATGTTAAGTGCTCATTTGACGGGGAAGTGTAAGAATATTTCTGTTTCATAATAAGTATTGAAGACATGCATTTTCTTTGTGACGTCATAAACACTTTAGTGACGTAATCGGTAAATGACAATTAGCTGAAAGTACTTCTTTTTAATTATGTGGAGAATGGTTATGTAGGCTTGGTATCTAATCTACTTGTATTTTCTTGTGAAATAAAATGCGTTGGAATGAAACAAAATAAAAAAAAATCTTAAAAAAATACAAGAAGCTAGATTTTCTAGGCTTTTCACTGTTGACAGCTCTTCGGGAAACAAACAAATTAACATCAACACACACACGCAATGTTGTCACATTTGTTTAGGGGACAATTCGTCAAACAATCAGCCTGTTATCCAATGAATTCGCCCGTGTACTAATTGTGCTTGCCTTCATATCAGTAGTGCAATACACCCTGAAACGCTTTTCATTGGCTGTACCAGTCAGAAATCGATTGTGATGTCATGATATGGAAAATGACGTTACGTCATAAATAAAAATTGTCACAAGGCCCCTTTTGATATTGTGCTCCACAACTTTACTTTAAATCTGTCAAAATGGAGCTTTCCTTAGTTATGTTCTTTACAAAATCTCTGGAAAAATGAAAACTCATTTTTGATCCTATATGTTATGAATTGTGTATTTACACTAAATAGTAAAGTAGTTATATTGTAAACTGTAAATGTGGGTCACGTGATTATAAAATGGAATCCTTAGCTTATTATATTGAAATCCTTTCCCATCTTTACAAATTTTATCAAGGCCCTTTAACATGTTTCACTTTTCCTCGTAAATTTCTCTACTGGAACGTACTGAAATTCAGAACCAACATGAAGCATGAAATGAAGTCATGATATTGTCACGTGGTCTTTATCTTTATAGTCACGTGTATCGCAGTGAAATGAACACATGTTTTCAGGCACTTTATGAGTTGTATCCCCTAAATCGTACAAAACACGGCCATATAATTCACTTCAGTTCGATGAAAAATAGCTGAATATTTTTTTTATTTGGATCGACTCATACCTACACTTTTTTAACCGAATTTCTAAATTAATGGTAAATTATTCAATGTCGCCTCCGTCATGAAATGTTAAACTGGAATTCCTTGTCTTAATATGAAAACGGACAGTTAAATGCACCGTGCCAAAGGTTCAGGGCTCTAGGGATATTGTTAGGCTGTACAATAATTTGCATTTGAATCCCTTCAAAATTACCCTAACCAAAACCAAATCTGTGTAGGCCCCCAATTCTTCCTTTCAGCTTCCCGAACATTTCAAACTGCCAAAGAATTAGGCTTCATCAGGCCCTGGAACCGTCTTCTACAACTCGCAAAAATCAAACGTTCGTCGCTACAAAGAATTCCCTCCGAGGGGGGGCAGGTCGCCTCCTCACTGGCGTTCGTCGGTGAGACAATATCCGGACATGGAAGGAGTCGCAGAGACAGAAAACCTGTTTAACAACAAACCAACCAAAATGATAGGCTTTTTCAGAATACCCGCAAAACTTGGAGTGTCAACCCTCCTCCATCTGTTCACATCACCAACTTTGGAAAGTTGAGAGGAAGATCAAAGGAAATTCTGTAAGGGTTCTATCCCAAAGTAGACAATCTGTTTACCTGTTCGTGCTCAGTGGTATTTTCGAGATAAACATAATCATTAACACGTAATTGTGCGAGACAAAGAGAATCGTTTACCAGTACTGAAAATGTTTTCCTTTTAAATGCTTGACATAAATCGAACGCGTTCCCTGTTTTTACTCGAGATAAATCGAATACGTTCCATGTATTTGATCGAAATAAACTGATTGTGTGTTCCCTAAATATACTCGAAATAAATAGATATGTTCTTTGGTTGTGTTCGATATAACAGAAATTGTCACCATTATTTGTTCGAGATAAATACAATTCATAATTTCACATACTCATGACCGAGGATACTCGGATCAAATTTTAATTCAAAACCTAGGCTTGCCATGAAAATCACACTTACCTTCTTTTTGAAAACGCGTTTCAATGACGCTTTTGTTTTCTATATATCCACCGGGGCAAATCTTAATCGCGGTGTTTTAGATCTATTCATTTCAAATACACTAGTTTAGGAGTAACAACGAAACCAGACAGTAAACTAATATCGGGCGTTGCATTTTGTAAATTGTGGTGTTAAATTTCTATCTTTGGCTCCGTTTAACTAATTTAATTATTTTTACATGGTATCATTATATTTCACAGAATAGGTAATCTATCTTGAACGTATTGAACAGATCGGCTACACCAGTACCAAATAGCTTCAAAATCTCTCCATATTTCAGCTTTTTCGCGAAAATATAGCTACTTAGTTGGTTATTTTAAACATGAATACCACTCGATAGGCTGGTTTTATTTGTTACGTTGAATTTGAAGTGTAACAGTTCTATATATGCAAATGACTCTACACCCTGATAGGCGACTTTATGAAACCAATATGAGAAAAACACTTAAGGGTGGATTGTGGGCAAGTCCTTGTCTCAAAAGAAGATAAAGTTTTAAAAGTCACTATGTCCAAATTCGGCGACATATTAAAATAAGATATGCAGATTGGATTTTACCCCCCCCCCCCCCCCCCCCCCCCCCCCCCCCCCCCCCCCCATCCTTTTATACAGTCAGTATGGATAGGACACAAAAACACATCATTACAGATTTACATGTTTTCATATTTCCTTGTATCATAATTCGGAATGACATCGTCACACTTTATGAACTTTTTGGCTCCCTTGCATTAATAATGTTCCTCCGTTAAGTCGGATTCCAAATGGAATGTCGATTTTCCCCCTATTTTTTGCACTACCGGTTTTGACCTTTGTCATCTTTCCCCCTTTATAAACGAATCATTTGGTAACCGAGTATTCAAATTGGCCCCCAAAAGCTCTTAGTTCAATTCCATTATCCGTCAATATTTACTTCTCATTTACCAAAATAACAAATCCCAACTTTGTTTACAATCTTAATAGCACGGAATGGAACCTTAGCTGGGATTTTAATCAGTCAAGATAATATTCATCAAATGACATCAATACAGAAAAAAACAACAAACAAGCAAAAAGAAAATTGGATTCGTCAATAATGTCATAAATTTCAGAGATCATATTTTTTCGGATAAATTTAAGGTTTAGTGTATCGCATCGAGTCGTCATTTATCAGTGAACATGAAAAGTTTATCATATTTACATAACTTTCTTATCAGGTTATTTCAAAAATGATTTTGGCCTAGTGTATATACAGGTCATAAGATTGATTGTATGATATATATATATACATATATGTTCTATTATTTCATTAAATAATGGATAAATATTGCTCCATTGAATACAATATAAATCTATAGAAAATCATGTGTTTCAGTTTATAATGTAAATATTTTCTGCGCGATGTAACAAAATCATGTTTGTTATATAGTGCTATACACTCAGTATGGACGAGTCACCTTATCTATTTAATCTTTATGATTTATTCTAAGAGAAATTCAGTAGTATAGCTTGGTATCTTGTGTGACTTAAAATGTCTGTTTCAATCAGATGATTTCTGTTAAAATTATGAATCCTCAAATGACAGCTGCCAAAAGATAGTTTTCATTTCTTTCGTCTATATTTAGTCCAGATTATATCCTAAATATATTTTTAAAATGATATCATCATCTGACCAAATATAACTACAGGCATTGTTATTAAAACGATAACAAAGATATTTATAGTCTTTACTTTGAAAACGAACTTCAGTTGATGTCTACAAGTCCTTTGGCCGAGTATTGCTTAAAGAGTAATCGCCCTTTGTCTCGTTCTGTTCTCAGACGGTCCGAGAGTTTGTTGTCAACGAGACCAGCAAGATTGTTCCTGTCACCCATCTCGAATATTAAGCAATTTTGTTGAACCCACTGTCAAAATGGATGAGTTTCAGACTGGAGAAGAGGTATATAAGTCATGCTTTGTTATTATTATCTAAATTAGTCTCAAATGTTCTGTATAAACATTTGTTTTGACATCGAAATAGATCAGTTGGGTATTTGTATGGTAAAACAGTGACATTTTGTGATGGATAATTTCTTGCAATGTTTATGGAACAACTTGACTTAAACAATGATTTTTGCCTGATTTAGAGTTTATAGTACAGACTTGCTATAGTCAAATGTCAGTTCAGACGGATTCGACGCTTAGTCAAGCAGACTCGAATTAAATAATTATGCCAATCATGCAATGTAATAGCTGAATAGAATTCCCACAGATTCCTATACCAGGGCTGATGTGGACAATCCCATACAACACTGGTAGCGTACGTGTTTTATACATTATCACTCGCAGTGTGTCTCTATGACATGTGAATGAGGACGATCCCTACCCACCCACTCCCCACTCTCCTCCCACTTCATAAAAACATTGCCAATGTTTTCCTTTTTTAAAAAAATCTATAATCTTTCAATTGGGAAAAGAGCTGTTCGTGTTGTCTTCACTCTCGACCTACAAAAAATCTATAAGTTATCTTTTTTTTATATCCTTTCATACTATTGATCTGTCGGAGTCTTACTCATGTCTTAGTACTTAGTCACAGGCCACTCTTGAGTGTTTTTATTTGTTAGTTTTTTGTGTTACATTGTAGTCATGAAGGTAGGATTTATATTGTGTAATTATGCCATCTATGAGTGCCTTGCTTCACTTTTGTAATTTGATCTTCTTTCCAGACTGCGTTTGTAACAGATGAAGTAACAAACATAATCAAAGAGGTTGGTACAATTGAAAACTAAAAACAGGAAAAAAAATATAGAAATTTCAATTGGTTGATTTAATAATATACATTATTTCATAACTTCATTCATTTAATTCAGACTGAGGCAAAGAGTAATGAGTTTGATTCAATCAGACAAGGAAAGTCCATAAAAATCTGAAACCATGGTCTTATTTTTCAATATTTTCTCTTAATTTATACACGGTACACTGCATATAGCAATCATATTTTTAACTTTTTTATGGAAATGTAAGTTAGCAGTGTTGGTGTATTATCAATACTCAGTACAGGATGGTTATAGTAATTATAATGTAGTAATTATATCGTAGACATATGATCCCGATGAAGTTGTAATATTGGTTTTCAGTTCAAGGTTATTTCATTATGATTATGATTAGGAACATAAAAAAAAAGATTTCACTATCTTTTTTTCTTCCAGTCCATTGAGGGTGCAATAGGTGGCAATGCTTACCAGCATAACAAAGTCAACCAGTGGACTTCCAATGTTGTGGAGCAGTGTCTGAACCAGCTTACCAAATTAGGGAAGCCATTTAAATATATTGGTAAGTTGGTGTGTACCCAGAAAGTCATTCAAAATTTATGTGTGCAAATAAAACATTCAGATATGTTTTTAAAAAGTGTGTACAAGGGAATTTATTAAAAAATTATCTGTTAGTAATTATCTTACGAAATCTACATGCAAACAATGTCTATTATTATATTTATGTTAAAATTTTCAACAGGGTATGCAGACACCCTCCAGTTATTTTTAACTTTTAATTATCTGGAGATTACTTACCACAATTTGGTTAAGTTATTGATCTTCGCATTTTTTCAGCATTTTAATCATATCCATTGTCGGCAGATCTCCTCTTAGTAAACATAGTAGGCTTTATAACCATGGCATTAGAATTGTTCTTCCTTTTGGAAAAATATTTGAATTCAGTAGTTTTTGAAGAAATACAATGGCTCCTACTTTTTTTTAGGTTTTTTATTGCCTGCAAATCGTCACTGTCAGATTTCAAGACATTTGGTGCAAACATTGTAGACATCCTTAAATGACCTAGAATTATGTTTTCACTTTGACTTTCTTAAAACATTGTTTGACTTCCATATTTGTATTCAGTGTGATGTAATAACTTATAGAGTCCTTGTTAAGGGACAGTTGTATACTGTCCTTTTCACAGTAGTACCTGTGATTGGTATATCTTTCTTTGTGGGAATGTGATGTCAACGTTATATATATGTTTCTTTTAATCCAATTTCAGTGACATGTGTTATAATGCAGAAAAATGGTGCTGGATTACATACAGCAAGCTCATGCTTTTGGGATAATACGACAGATGGTAAGGCAGATTCAGATCAAAAAGACAATGATAAGATTTAATTTATGTAATGTGTTTTAGCTCCATTATTACAGCCTTGCGACCTAACAGCACACAAGTCTGTATAATAACATGATACCAGTAAATATAGCGAGTCTGATACCAATAGTCACTTAGTTTACTGATTCTGAAACTTTGTATGCTCTATTTCGAGACATTTTAACTGTATTACAAGAACTGGTCTCATCTGAATATTTATGGTGATTTCTGGTAAATCTGTAATGGTGATATGTCATAAATCTATGATGGTGATATGTCATAAATCTGTAATGGTGATATGTCATAAATCTGTAATGGTGATATGTCATAAATCTGTAATGGTGATATGTCATAAATCTAAATCTGTGATGGTGATATGTCATAAATCTGTGATGGTGATATGTCATAAATCTGTAATGGTGATATGTCATAAATCTGTAATGGTGATATGTCATAAATCTGTAATGGTGATATGTCATAAATCTGTAATGGTGATATGTGATGGTGATATGTCATAAATCTGATTTGTCATAAATCTGTAATGGTGATATGTCATAAATCTGTAATGGTGATATGTCATAAATCTGTAATGGTGATATGTCATAAATCTGTAATGGTGATATGTCATAAATCTGTGATGGTGATTTGTCATAAATCTGTGATGGTGATTTGTCATAAATCTGTAATGGTGATATGTCATAAATCTGTAATGGTGATATGTCATAAATCTATGATGGTGATATGTCATAAATCTATGATGGTGATATGTCATAAATCTGTAATGGTGATATGTCATAAATCTATGATGGTGATATGTCATAAATCTGTAATGGTGATATGTCATAAATCTGTAATGGTGATATGTCATAAATCTGTAATGGTGATATGTCATAAATCTATGATGGTGATTTGTCATAAATCTGTGATGGTGATATGTCATAAATCTATGATGGTGATTTGTCATAAATCTGTGATATGATGGTGATTTCTGGTTAATCTGTGATATGATGATTTGTCATAAATATGTAACATGATGGTGATTTGTGATAATGCTGTGATGTGGTGGTGATTTGTGATAAATCTATATGATGGTGATTTGTGATAAATCTGTGATATGATGGTGGTTTGTGATAAATCTGTGATATGATGGTGATTTGTCATAAATCTGTGATATGATGGTGGTTTGTGATAAATCTGTGATATGATGGTGGTTTGTGATAAATCTGTAACATGATGGTGATTTGTCATAAATCTGTGATATGATGGTGATTTGTCATAAATCTGTGATATGATGGTGATTTGTCATAAATCTGTGATATGATGGTGATTTGTCATAAATCTGTGATGGTGATTTGTCATAAATCTGTGATATGATGGTGATTTGTCATAAATCTGTGATATGATGGTGATTTGTCATAAATCTGTGATATGATGGTGATTTGTCATAAATCTGTAACATGATGGTGATTTGTTATAAATCTGCGATATACTGAGTAGAAATCTCCAGTAAAACATCTGCCCAAGGTACTTGACCCCAGGACTAATGTCACTTCTATATCGTTTTGCTTTCCTGCCCATTACTTCTAAGCAAATGATCAATTAAATTCTATCAATGTTTCAGTAAACAAAGTCCTGGAGTAATATAGACTGTTTTTATTGTTTAGCATGGAAATATGGTTATACTTAATGATGGCCATAGTCCTTCTATTTTATTACTGTGGTATCAAGTCATACCAAAGTCAATCATTGATCACTTGGGAAAGGATGATAATCAGGTGTGTAGTTTGGAGTATTTCCCTGAAACACTGATCTAGAGAGAAGTGAATTAACTCCCAAGAGTTTGGTCAAAATTCCTGGAGTACACATACCAAGAAGTTTGGCTTGAGTGATGTTGATGTGATTCTTACGACTGAAACTATCACTAATGTGTTACTGTTGTATATTTCAGGGAGCTGTACTGTGAGATGGGAGAACAAGACCATGTACTGTATCGTCAGTGTGTTTGGTTTGGCCATATAACTACTCTACAAACAGACATCTTATTTGGTGTTTTAAAAGACGTTTGACAGTGATCAGAGCTATTCTATGTGTACACGGGACAGGAGGTTATCTGTGTATTTATGGAATATGTAGCACACCACCAAGATCACATTTGGATTATGTTAAAACTTTCGATATTTATCAACATGGTTGGTTGTTTTGACCAAACTGATGACATTTTATGTGCCAGTTATCTCAAACTGACACAAATTCCAATTTTTCTGTCGAGTACAAGTATTATAAGCCAATTGTGGAAGATTTTTTGACATTATCAAAGTCATCAGTGAGCAGTATCAGGAAAGAATGATCAATGGTACTTGGTTACTGATCAGAAAAGATATTTATTTGATCTTGTTTTTGTCTGGATAATTTTTTTCACTAATTCGTTTCAGGTTATATTGGCTGTCATGTAAAAATAAAATAATTAGTATGGTAAATGATTTTTTAGAACTGTCCAAAAAAAAAAAGAAAATCCTGCTGACACAGTTTTCATATCAATAGTTAACTGACATTTCTCATATAATCATCCATGAGTTTTAGCTGTCATTGATTTTATTTTTCTCAAATGATGAGAAGTTTCAGTTCATTGATGAAATAAATCAGTTTAAAAGACAACAATGCAACTTTTCTTTGTTTAACAGTGCTAACCAAAACGAAAATATTTACATAACAACACACAGAGTTTCTCATGGTTCATGAACTAAAACCTCCGTTTATATTTTAGTTTTTTTGGTACCACTTCTCTTCTACTTTCCTCCTTAAAGCTATCATTAGTATCGCCATAGCTAGTTCTGTATTGTCAGGTGATAGACAAATATCACGGTTGAAATATTTATTATTCTAGACAGGCTGAGTAATGATAGATAAAAAAGATCTAGTTTTCATATTGTTTTAATAAAATTTCTTAAGTACTGTAGCAATTCCACTTGAAATCATGTACTATGAATAATATATGCCTGTAATTATACTATTATATAACACTGTGTTTTTAAATGTTTAAGTTATTGCACTTTTCATATATTCCCATTTTAGATTGAAGCCTTGCATTAATGAGAATCAAACTCCCAAAATAATTTGGTGCGTTGCTATATGGTATATGTTGAATAAATTTCTATCTAATTCTTGTGAGATGTAGGATATATAGGACTTTGGCAAGTTTGTGTAATCTTTTCAGGAACGATTTTTGAGAAAATAGCTGTTCTGTGAATATTCTGTATATTGGATAAAATTTGGACCATCAGTTTGAAGTCATGATATCACGCCTGTAAGGGTGTGATATACAGTCCTGTAAATAGCTAGAATACAGCCTCTGTTGTATTTATTGACAAAATTAAACAATAAATTGTGTTCAAATACAACTAGGGTTGTTGACAAGTTCTTCTATCAATTACAAGTCTGTGAACTATCCATCATAAACATTATCAACACAGACAAGTCTGTAAACGATCAATCACAAACATTACCGACACGGACAAGTCTGTGAACGATCAATCACAAACGTTTAAAACTTAATAGATACTGTATGTAGCCATCATACTGTATACTAAAGTGGACCTAGACTTAGCCCATCACACTGTATACTTAAGTGGACCTAGACTAAACCCATCACACTGTATACTCAAGTGGACCTAGACTTAGCCCATCACACTGTATACTCAAGTGGACCTAGACTTAGCCCATCACACTGTATACAAGTGGACCTAGACTTAGCCCATCACACTGTATACTCAAGTGGACCTAGACTTAGCCCATCACACTGTATACTCAAGTGGACCTAGACTTAGCCCATCACACTGTATACTCAAGTGGACCTAGACAGCCTTTGTATACTTGAAAACCATTTTTTACCAATCACACATGTGTTGACCACTGTAGAAACAAATGGATATTTTTGACCATGGCTGTTAGATATCTCGTTTTTAGCAATGTTAGAAAGAAAGAGTACATCACAACATGTTCACTAATTTTATTTATAAATTAACAAGATATTTCTTGGTCTGTTGCCTTGTCTTTATGATTGTATAAATGTTTGGAGTGTTATTCATCAGTAATTTTCCTTCTACAACCCAGGATATGAGTGTTCAATAAATTTTCAAACTCTGAGGGAGACCAAAAAAAGCAACCGTCTTTATGTATACTGAATTACCTGATAATTATCCATAGATACTTATCATCAATATTAACAGTTCTGTATATATACTCTTAAGATAAAGTATAACTGACACACAATTACCAGGAGTATCACTGATCTGTTGTCTCGAAAGTTTGACTCTGAGGGTATTTGACGGGAGCACTAGAAAACACACTCCTATTAGAGGGTTGGTTAGGAATATCACAGTCTGACTGTAGATTTGTATCAGCTGGGCCCGTTTCCCCATCCTTTGTTTCATCAGCTGAGTAGTCTTTGTAAGATTCATTTCTGATCAGACGGGTGTCCACAATACTAGACTTTGGTATGTAGACTGGATTGGTTTCCTCAGTGTTTGGTGTTATGTAAACTGGAGCAGTCTCCTCTGGTTTACTTTGCTGTGTGTTGATGTTTACATAGCCAGGAGTGTGTACATCAGCAGATGAGACAGTATATGAGTGTTGACCCTCTGTACCAGCTGGCACTGAAAAAGTTCCTGAAAAAGGATTCACCATACCTGGTGGTGGGAGGTTTAAGTTTGGTTGTCCATATACATCAAACTGTGACATAGGATTATGTTGAAACCATCCAGACTTGTTCTTGGTTTCAGTAGAGAAGTCATACACAGTGCTGCCGGATGACATGTTTTCCTGGTTATAACTAAAGTCTAGGCTATTAGACTGAACTTTGCTGGGAAATGTCACATTTGTGTCTGTATTTCCAATGCTGATGCGTTGCCCTGGTAACGGAATATCCTCTACTGCCACGCTTCCACAAGGCTCCACACCTGGCACCCTATCATCACTTTGTCGGGTTTTTGAAGTTTCTTGTCGCTCCCTTTTCAAAAACTCTTCAATATTTTCCGTATCTGTGCAAGGGCCAAACGTTTTACTTGACAACTGACTTGGTTTTGTTTTCTGACTGTTTGATGGAGGTATGGCAGTGTTATCAAGCGAGGTGTCTGGTTGACACAGTATATTTGACTTTTCTACTACATTTTCATCAGGATAAACCAGAGGTGGCATCAATTCACAAGTCACATTGTTGTCATGAGAGGAGATAGGCCATTTTTTCTTTGTGTGGGTCTCTTTCTGATCAAAGACGGAATAATTTGATCCCGTTTTCAATCTTTGTGTTGCCACTGCAGGATTTTTCTTCGTATCAGAATAATAAAATGATGGTGGAGCAAATTCCGGCTGTCTTTCTCCTCGTTTCTCCTCAAAATACCTCTCTTCTGTTGTTGCGCTGGGATGTGGAAACAACCCTTTAAAAAAGTACAAGACAATGTTCCTGTTATAACAGTAGTAGAAATCTTCCAATAGAGTTTATCAATTCTAAGAAAATTCTGTTTTAAGTGTCTAGTATACTGTAAAATCATGGGGCTCAAATTTCATAGTAATTCAAAATTATTTTCATTGACACTTGATCTCATGGATAAATCTTGCTAAAACAAATCCACTAGTACTATCATCTATATCAAATTTTATCTCTTATCATTTTGTGCACATGGTGCACAGAAAACCCTTGAATTGAATGAAAGTAAATTCCTTTATAATAAATGACTAACTTTTGGTATAGATGGAAACTGTATGGATGTGTCACACTGGCTGTGTAGAGGTAAAACTATATTGATATCTCACACTGGCTGTGTAGAGGTAAAACTACATTGATATCTCACACTGGCTGTGTAGAAGTAAAACTATATTGATATATCACACTGGCTGTGTAGAGGTAAAACTATATAGATATGTCACACTGGCTGTGTAGAGGGAAAACTATATTGATATGTCACACTGGCTGTGTAGAGGTAAAACTATATAGATATGTCACACTGGCTGTGTAGAGGGAAAACTATATTGATATGTCACACTGGCTGTGTAGAGGTAAAACTATATAGATATGTCACACTGGCTGTGTAGAGGGAAAACTATATTGATATGTCACACTGGCTGTGTAGAGGTAAAACTATATAGATATGTATAGATATGTCACACTGGCTGTGTAGAAGTAAAACTATATTGATATCTCACACTGGCTGTGTAGAAGTAAAACTATATTGATATATCACACTGGCTGTGTAGAGGTAAAACTATATAGATATGTCACACTGGCTGTGTAGAGGGAAAACTATATTGATATGTCACACTGGCTGTGTAGAGGGAAAACTATATTGATATGTCACACTGGCTGTGTAGAGGGAAACTATATTGATATCTCACACTGGCTGTGTAGAAGTAAAACTATATTGATATATCACACTGGCTGTGTAGAGGTAAAACTATATAGATATGTCACACTGGCTGTGTAGAAGTAAAACTATATTGATATATCACACTGGCTGTGTAGAAGTAAAACTATATTGATATCTCACACTGGCTGTGTAGAAGTAAAACTATATTGATATCTCACACTGGCTGTGTAGAAGTAAAACTATATTGATATATCACACTGGCTGTGTAGAGGTAAAACTATATAGATATGTCACACTGGCTGTGTAGAGGTAAAACTATATAGATATGTCACACTGGCTGTGTAGAGGGAAAACTATATTGATATGTCACACTGGCTGTGTAGAGGGAAACTATATTGATATGTCACACTGGCTGTGCAGAGGTAAAACTATATTGATATATCACACTGGCTGTGTAGAGGTAAAACTATATAGATATGTCACACTGGCTGTGTAGAGGTAAAACTATATAGATATGTCACACTGGCTGTGTAGAGGGAAAACTATATTGATATGTCACACTGGCTGAGTAGAGGTAAAACTATATAGATATGTCACACTGGCTGTGTAGAGGTAAAACTATATAGATATGTCACACTGGCTGTGTAGAGGGAAAACTATATTGATATATCACACTGGCTGTGTAGAGGGAAAACTATATTGATATGTCACACTGGCTGTGTAGAGGGAAAACTATATTGATATGTCACACTGGCTGAGTAGAGGTAAAACTATATAGATATGTCACACTGGCTGTGTAGAGGTAAAACTATATTGATATATCACACTGGCTGTGTAGAAGTAAAACTATATTGATATATCACACTGGCTGTGTAGAGGGAAAACTATATTGATATGTCACACTGGCTGTGTAGAGGTAAAACTATATAGATATGTCACACTGGCTGTGTAGAGGTAAAACTATATTGATATGTCACACTGGCTGTGTAGAGGGAAACTATATTGATATGTCACACTGGCTGTGCAGAGGTAAAACTATATTGATATATCACACTGGCTGTGTAGAGGGAAACTATATTGATATGTCACACTGGCTGTGCAGAGGTAAAACTATATTGATATATCACACTGGCTGTGTAGAGGTAAAACTATATTGATATGTCACACTTGCTGAGTAGAGGTAAAACTATATTGATATATCACACTGGCTGTGTAGAGGTAAAACTATATAGATATGTCACACTGGCTGTGTAGAGGGAAACTATATTGATATGTCACACTGGCTGTGTAGAGGTAAAACTATATAGATATGTCACACTGGCTGTATAGAGGGAAACAATACTGATGTGTCACACTGGCTGTGTAGAAGGAAACTATATGGATGTGTCACACTGGCTGTATAGAAGGAAACTATATTGATGTGTCACACTGGCTGTATAGAGGGAAACAATACTGATGTGTCACACTGGCTGTGTAGAAGGAAACTATATGGATGTGTCACACTGGCTGTGTAGAAGGAAACTATATTGATGTGTCACACTGGCTGTGTAGAAGGAAACTATATTGATGTGTCACACTGGCTGTGTAGAAGGAAACTATATTGATGTGTCACACTGGCTGTGTAGAAGGAAACTATATTGATGTGTCACACTGGCAGTGTAGAGGGAAACTTTATTGATATGTCACACTGGCTGTGTAGAAGGAAACTATATTGATGTGTCACACTGGCTGTATAGAAGGAAACTATATGGATGTGTCACACTGGCTGTATAGAAGGAAACTATATGGATGTGTCACACTGGCTGTATAGAAGGAAACTATATGGATGTGTCACACTGGCTGTATAGAGGGAAACTATATGGACATGTCACACTGGCTGTATAGAAGGAAACTATATGGACATGTCACACTTACTGTCCTTTCCTTTGTCCCATTCCCGTTCTGGTTTATTTTTGTTGATGTTTACATCTCGAGTCAGTAGTTTGGGTTCTTCTGTTGCTGTCTTTTCTTTATGGTCACTGACTGGCTCCTTTAACTGGATATCTGTAAAATAATTTACTTTGATACAGTAATCCATCAAAGGCTATTTATTTTCATTTTTATTTTTTTCACAAATGGTAACAACGAACAAAATTTAAAATCTTGGAAATTGCAAACATACCTAGGTACTAACAACACAATATACCAATTTCCATAAACAAAATTTTCTACAAAAGTGGATGTGTATACTTAAAATCATGTGTAGGCAAGCACTGTGTTTCATTTTACCAGATAAAGCCTCCTTAACAGAATTAATTGTTTGTTGTGCTTTAGTTTCAGGCAACACAAGTTAGTTTTCTTAGAAATATGGTGGATTATCTCCCCTTAACTGTACTTGACAGTGAGTGTGGAAGTACTGTATACTTAAACTGCAGCTTACAGTCAATTTCTATCATAGAAATACAAAGGTTATAATGATATGGATGTGAGTAAATAAATCTTTTCATCTTGAGAAAGGTAAAACTGTTTCCAGGTTAAGACAATAAGTAATCTACTCCAACTGCCGTAAGAAGGAGGAAACATATTTCTTTATTCCTACATTTAATACCTTCTTCAGTTTCTGTGCTAATTATTCCGGCGATCTGCTGTTTACGTTTTTTGACCTTCGCAAGTCGAGCGTCCAGCATTGCCTTTCGCTTTTCCTTCAGTCTCTCTCTACGGGAACGCTCATCAAGGGTCTGTCAATTACGGAACACAACATTAACGACCAATAATTATAAGCTTTAGAATTGCTCAGTAAAAACGTTATTAACGAAACTGTTACTTTCCAATTATTGCTCAATATATTGTTTATATTTATGTAAATATAATTCAATAATGAATTAAACTATCTAATGACATAATAACACACAAGCTCATTGTTTACAGGGGACATTAGCATGTTATTATTATCAGCAGTAAGAGGCCAGATTCATGTCTATAGGAAGAAATTACCGTAAATTTGCGGGTATAATACGTACTCGGGTATAATGCGATTAATAATAGATTCACCGTAATGCTTGCGTGTATGGCCAGTGATTAAAACATTTTATCCCCAAACTATCATTTATGACCGATGACTCTTACATATAACTATGTGAAGGGAGATAATCCAATATGGCAGACACAGAACTCACGAATGATAACCCCAAGAATGGCATGTTCCTGCATATAATGCGCACCCCCATTTTGACACGACAGTTTTAGCTTGAAAAAGTGTGCACTATACGCAGAAATTTACGGTACCAGCCATTACCTTTCGACTGAACCCTCCCATATACCATATGTAGTCAGGTATAATATATGACAACAAGGTGTCTTTCATAACTGATTTTATTTTGATATAGACATTTAAACAGTCCTGATAACTAGAGACTTGTCCACCCATCTTCACTTGTCATATATCACCCAAAATTAACAGTCCTGATAATTAGAAACTTGTCCACCCATCCTCACCTGTTGTTGTAAATCACCTAAAATTAACAGTCCTGATAATTAGAAACTTGTCCACCCATCCTCACCTGTTGTTGTAAATCACCTAAAATTAACAGTCCTGATAATTAGAAACTTGTCCACCCATCCTCACCTGTTGTTGTAAATCACCTAAAATTAACAGTCCTGATAATTAGAAACTTGTCCACCCATCCTCACCTGTTGTTGTAAATCACCTAAAATTAACAGTCCTGATAATTAGAAACTTGTCCACCCATCCTCACCTGTTGTTGTAAATCACCTAAAATTAACAGTCCTGATAATTAGAAACTTGTCCACCCATCCTCACCACCTAAAATTGTTGTAAATCACCTAAAATTAACAGTCCTGATAATTAGAAACTTGTCCACCCATCTTCACTTGTTGTCATATATCACCCAAAATTAACAGTCCTGTTCACTTGTTGTCATATATCACCCAAAATTAACAGTCCTGATAACTAGAGACTTGTCCACCCATCTTCACTTGTTGTCATATATCACCCAAAATTAACAGTCCTGATAACTAGAGACTTGTCCACCCATCTTCACTATATATCAAAATTAACAGTCACCTGTTGTTGTAACCTGTTGTTGTATCACCTAAAATTAACAGTCCTGATAATTAGAAACTTGTCCACCCATCCTCACCTGTTGTTGTAAATCACCTAAAATTAACAGTCCTGATAATTAGAAACTTGTCCACCCATCCTCACCTGTTGTTGTAAATCACCTAAAATTAACACCTGTTGTTGTAAATCACCTAAAATTCCTGATAATTAGAATCTTCACTTGTTGTCATATATCACCCAAAATTAACAGTCCTGATCCTCACCATCTTCACTTGTTGTCATATATCACCCAAAATTAACAGTCCTGATAATTAGAAACTTGTCATATATCACCCAAAATTAACCACCCATATATCCAAAATTCACCTGTTGTTGTATAATCACCTAAAATTAACCGTCCTGATAACTAGAGACTTGTCCACCCATCCTCACCTGTTGTTGTAAATCACCCAAAATTAACAGTCCTGATAACTAGAAACTTGTCCACCCATCCTCACCTGTTGTTGTAAATCACCTAAAATTAACAGTCCTGATAACTAGAAACTTGTCCACCCATCCTCACCTGTTGTTGTAAATCACCTAAAATTAACAGTCCTGATAATTAGAAACTTGTCCACCCATCCTCACCTGTTGTTGTAAATCACCTAAAATTAACAGTCCTGATAATTAGAAACTTGTCCACCCATCCTCACCTGTTGTTGTAAATCACCTAAAATTAACAGTCCTGATAATTAGAAACTTGTCCACCCATCCTCACCTGTTGTTGTAAATCACCTAAAATTAACAGTCCTGATAACTAGAGACTTGTCCACCCATCTTCACTTGTTGTCATATATCACCCAAAATTAACAGTCCTGATAACTAGAGACTTGTCCACCCATCTTCACTTGTTGTCATATATCACCCAAAATTAACAGTCCTGATAACTAGAAACTTGTCCACCCATCCTCACCTGTTGTCGTATATCACCCAAAGTTTCCATCTCCTTTTGTCGATCCTCCTCTGTCTTAGAAAACTGGAAGAAGCCTGTGCCATGATTTCTGATCTCTGCAAAAGCCATTTAGTATGATTAAGTCAACATAAAAGAAAGCTAAGTGAATAAACAGGACATATGGGCCTGTATCTAATCTGTTTGGTTTGTTAACTGAATTACTGTAGCTACAGACTAGAATTACCTTCTAACTTGAGGCCAATAAATTTATATTTTTACTAACAAACAGAACTGAAACTGCTGCAAAATATGAAGATCGAAATCACATGTAATGATGACAAGAGTACAGAAGTTTACTAACAAGGATAAATAAGATAGCACAATATGATTACCATCAAACTGTACATTGGAGTAGTGGACGGGACCATTCAAGTTAGCTTTGGCCTCGTCCTCCCATTTCTGTCTTTGTATCTCACGACGCATGTCCTCTGATAAAAGTGTTGGCATCTCATTTAACCTGTAAAATGAAATTTAAAACGATCTTATGGAGAAAAATATGATTACATGGTTATGATGTTATCCTGGTAAAATTAATTTTTGTAGCTATCAATATTTGCGATTCTATTTTAAAATATTTCTTGGTGACACCTTTTTCCTGAATCTTTTTCAACTCCCAGTGGCAATCATAGCTGACAATCATACTTCATTGATTATATGGAAAAAGACAAACGTTCAACAGATAAGCAGATTCCCAGCAATTTATTATCTTAATTGTTTTTATATGCAAACATTGCAAAAATAAGATGCTTGTGAATTACATAACCATAAGGATAATAGCACAAGAGCCAGTCACGTAAAAGTGTAGCAATTTACCAAGAGCAATACACTCTGTGGAATGTGCTTTGGTAGCAGTACACAGTTTCTCAGTGTGGCCATGGGTGATTTTTTTGCTCATTAGATTACCCCATTATAAAGGTTCTAATTAAAAATGAAAAAAAAATAATCCTTGCTAAAATTGGTCCTGTCATGTTAAAGTGGACAATGTGGGGTTTAATTTTTTTCAGGATAATATTTTAGCTTTGTGTTGGAGATTACTATTTGGGCAGTCTCGAATCTGTGTCTACGCACCAAAAACTAGCTTTACAGGAAGTGAAATTTTCATAGTGTTTACATGTGGTCATGTTATGAAGAATTTCCGAGTTGGAATTTGCTGAAATGTAAGTACTTTGTTACCGTGACTGTTGTTGATTGTAAGATGTAAGATAGGTGTTTAGAATTAAATTTCTCCTAGAAAGTTGTAGGGTTAGGTTGGAATTAGCAGTATTTTAGCATTTTTTCAGTAGGTAACCATGACAATCAAATGTCAGAAATCAGAGAAAATTTTTTTTTTACACAAATTCCATCTCTCTACTGTTAATGTAATTGTTATGTAGTTTATAAATATATATACATGTAATGATATATTTTTCATAACCAATCTGCTATACCTGTATGTCTAAAACATGACAAATAATTTCAGGAAAAATGCAAATTAACTGTTTACTGCTACCTTTGGTCCGAATTCGAGTTATACAATTAAAGTTTTCTTATAACATCCTATATGCTATTAATTTTAACCCATTTTCATGTTTTCAGTGTCATATGTTACTGGTATAGAAAATGTTACAGTCCACAACGTTGATATACTTGTGTCCAGACACACACACTTATTAGGGATCAGATTTTAACCAATCCACAAGGCTGACATATTTCTGTCCAGACACACACTAATTAGGGATAAGATTTTAACCAGTCCACAAGGTTGATATACTTGTGTCCAGACAGTCAGACTTACCTTTTGTCAGAAGTTTTCCTGTCTTTCTCTCTCAGGTCCTTTAAATCCTTCCGCATGCATGTTCTAGTTCTTCCAAAGGCATCGGTATAGTCCACCCTATAACACACGGTTTTATTTATGGCAGCGAGTGTGTGAGAAATATAAATATAAATGGGAGTCACAAATCAAAACTAGATCTGCAGGATCTTAATAGATTTATCGTTAACTAACCAGATTTGGACACAGGTGGGGCATAAATATATGAGAATTTTGTGAATTTCTGTTTCATTTATCTACTAAAACAGGTTCTATTGTCCAGAATTCTACATGATTTTTAATCAGAATACAAAAACATTGTATTATTGTGATAATAATTTGCTGTAATATTTATCAGTTTGTTATAATAATTTTCAATATTTTAGTATAAGATTTTAGTATTGTTAAGTAGAGTAATATTTCTTATAAAACAACATGCCATTCTTCCTCCTTGTTAGCTGGTGGAGGAATATCTGCTTTTGACAATATCTCCTCCTCTTGTTTTCTCCTTTCATTTTCTTCCTCCCTCTTCCTTGCTTCTCTGTCTTTCTCTCTAACATCTATCATCTGATCTATGACTTTTTTCTCAAAGTCCACCAAGTAGAGTTTGCTGCCATCTTCCTCTGTAACAGCACATGATTTTGTTAATCAATAACTACTAATGAATGATATCTTTCAGAATATGATGTAATTTATATGACACAAAGTTAAGAACATTAGAATGTCACTAGAGTTGATAAAGTAATTCTGATTAACTGTAGAAGCTGAGAGTACAGGTCACTTTCTTAGCCTCAGCTTGTGGGATTTGCCCTGCAGTCAAGCAGTAGAGTGTCTGATTGGTGACCAAAAGCTCACTAAGTCAAACCTGAGAAAAAAAGAGGCAAGGTGTTTTTCATTACTCATTCCTATTACAGACTTGGTGCTGTTGACCACTCCAAAGTTAGAAGTAATAGGTGATTGAAATGCTTCCTAGAACTATAGAACCTGGCTTGTAGGTTACTTCAGGTTCAAGAGTAATATGTGAAGGAGGGAGTAGTGTAGAAGTTGAAAGTATGGGTCACAATGCTATTCCTGGCTAGTGGGAATTTCCCTTTCGCCAAGAAGTAAAATGTCTGTTTTGAGACTGAGAGTTCACTAGTTCAATATCCCAGAAGACGGTGTTTGTCAAAACTCCTCCTAGTACATAACAACTTATATCTGTACTGATATAAGTCTTTAAATGTTAGCATTGAATAAAGGTTTTCTTTGTTGGAAACTTCACAAAATTTGTGAAGACAACTGAAATGTTGAATTAATTCACTGTAGCAATGGATCTTAAAATGAAATATTGTATAACAGATATTACGAAAGCTTATTGAATAAAATCAGTTATCGACAATCCTTCACAGTGATTAGAAGGAACCTAATCATACTGTACCTGGAATATCTGACCCTTCTGTTATCCTGTCATACATTCTGGCTTTTTCCTCAAGTTTCTTCCTTCAAAATGATAAAGAATTTCCTGGTCAATCATCAACAAAGCCTTGATAGTTATACAAGTTATTTATAAATAGTGAGTTCAAATATTCTATATCGTAAATTGTGTACAAAATTTTTATACCTTAAGATTAATGGCATTTTTTTTGTTTTTCTCATTAATATTAATTCTTTAATTTTTCACTTTCAAAACTTGACAAAATAATACAAATTATATTATGATCACCTTGAATTTTCAAAAGCATTTTCTTCCTCCACTTTCTTTTCAAGATCTCTCTTCGCTCTTTCAAGAACACCAGTATTTTTCTTACTCCATATATCATTTTTCTGTGGAATAAACACTAAAATTAGAATAAGTGATATTCTGATCAGTATTTTGTTCGAGAATTTCAAAATAATGATAAAAGATCTTTCATCATAGTTTACATTTCTAAAATGAATAATTAATATTCATGGTACAGAAAGTTTTTTTTTCTTTTTGCACCTGTGTGAACTGCCAAGATTATTCTTACATTTCCCTGTCATTTATTTTTATCAGTCTAGAATTGATATAAAACAATCAACAGAATGCCAGAATAATGCCAGCTACTGTGAGGAGTTATGTTAAAAATTCAGAATTATTTTGTAATCAGAAATATCTGACCACATATAAAAGTAATCAATAATAATAAAATATTAATACAGAGGAAATTTGATGGTTTCCCTACAATATCATGTATTGTCTCTGGAAAAGTTATATCATCCCTGGAAAAGTTATATCATCCCTGGACAGGTTAAGACATCACTAAATGATGTAGGATTACTAAGATCATCACTGCACTGTGCAGCGACATAAGTTTTCATCAAATTGACAAATTCTTTGTCAGAAATATAATTACTTTTATATACCAAGTACAGCTATAATAGTCCTATAACACAATATCAAACCTTTTCTGAAGTTTTTGGTCGGATGTAACTTGAGCCTTTTTCCTTTAATTTTTGTTGTTTAAATTCTTCTTGTTTTCTGTATAGCTCTGCTTTCAAGTCCACCAGCTGAAAAAGATGTTACCAAATATATGAACATCATTAGTATTAGCATAAATACTCACTTTAATTAGGAGTTTTATACAACAAAATAAACATAAATGATGCATATGGATTAGCAGGATTGGAGCATCTTTGGATTGAGAAGGTACACTAAAAACTCCAAACTGAAAGTTCCCTCTCTACTTGCAAGTTTTAAGGTTTGCATCGAAGTAAGTCATAAAATGTTTTTAAATATATTGAGATGCATATGTTGTATGCTTCACATTTGCAATGAAAATAAAACCTCATACATATGATGTCTAGTGTTTGTAAGAGCCTAGCTCTTGGGTGCTCAGATGCCTGAGAGGAGCTTTTCCAAAACGGCTAGAAATGTTCACAGCTTTTTTAAAATCAGAACATGAAAAGAGTTACCTCCCTTCCTGTATTTTTTTCATAAAGCTTTATTTTACGGTGTTTCCAAGGTTCAACAATCAACACAAGCACTATAGAGCATTTATTATGACAATTTTGCTGAGGGAACAAAGTCTGAATTTGTATCAAGAAAAAGTCAATCTATATGCACACTCTATCAATGCTATCGATAACCCTAAACAGGCTTATGATCTACAAGTACAGAAGTGAGCAGAGCTGTAAAAATCCACATGTTCACTAGCTGACACACTAAACTGTAGACTGACTAACATCTTGGTATTTACAAGACTAGTCGCCGAAACGGAATTTCAATATACTGCATGGTTTAGTGCAAGGAAGACCCATATCACCACAATATGTATGCAAGATGAAATGTCGGGAGGAAGAAGATGGTTCTAATCAGAGATAAATTGTTCTGTGGGATGAAATGACATTTCAGACCTGAATTCTACAAGAGTGTGGATGTACATACTAGACATATTATTATGTGCATGTCTCATATGACAGGATCGTTTCGTTACAACGTCGGACTTGGAAAGACGTTTCAGTACATTAGCAAGATATTTTCTATAGGAAACATCAGAATTTTAACGTGTGTATTCTCTGTTTACTCAAAACTTGACAACCTCCAATTTCTGAGCGACAAATCAATTTAAAAAAAAAACGTCTTAAATACATACGGATGCTGCCTGTATCTTATTTTCCATTTTAGAAATTCTTTTAAGCGTTTGCATAACCTTGAGATGCCATAAACTGGAGGAGGGACATTCTATTACATTTTCCTAATGACGGACCAAAAATGCGCATAGCAATGTAAAACTTATTTTTAAAATTAGAATTAGTAAAATTATTCTTCGTTCATCAACTTATTTACATCAAATTATTTAGAAACGTGTCTATTGGTTGTTTGTTGTTATAATTATTTACTTTGCTTTATGTTTTACTTTTAATTCCGGACTGCCCTTCTCTGTTTAACTTATTACTCTCGCCGTTTACGACATCCGCGATTGAAGATGGCGTCGGAGAGAAAGGGAAGGTAAACATGTCTATAATCACTTGAAAGTTCCAAATGACAAGAAACTATTATGAAATCTTAAATTGATATGAGGGACTGAGAGAGTTAAATTCACCGATTGACGTTAGTCAACCATCAAAATGTTCATGCGTCCATTCTAAGTCATAGTACTATACTAGTACTGTTGTATTGAAAAAATACACAGCATTACAAAATTGTACACTGTAAAATGTCAGTATCGAGATAATAATCTTGATGTTTAAATGAAAATATTTGAACTTTTGCCTGTGTAAATGTTACTGATAACCATAATAAATTTGAAGTTAGCGACATAAGATATGCTATAAATATATACTCCGATGAGACATACCTTTGTACCAAGTTTAATGTTGATATTTGTGTAACAGAGGTCATTATTTATTCCACTGCCTCCACTTGGAGTCGAACCCGTGACCCATGGCCTACTAGTCTGACGCTCAACCAGTCAAGCTAAAGAGAAGTTCTCTCTAGCCGAGTGGTATATTGCAGCTAGTATTTTACCAGAGTTACATTTGTAAAACTGGTTGAATTATAGAGTTACATTTTCCTCAATAGCTGATGGTACTTGTATTTATCCAGAGACGTATATATCACACGTATATATACGTCTCTGATTTATCTTAATAAACTGTGACAATTTTACTATATTGAGCTTGACATTAACGCTTGATGAAAATAGCATGGGTTATCATGAAACATTTATACAAATAGCATGCATGGGTTATAAAGCATTTTTAGATTGTGTCGCTCAAAATATATAATTAAGTAAGCAGTATCAAAATATATGTTGTTAGTATGATCATAATGTATCAAGTTTCACGAAATATAGGACTTAAACATTGTACCCATGCATGATCAAAAGAGGTGACCAAATTTTGATTTCTTCATATTTGTTCTCTTTTCTAAAGATCTTTCTCCTTAATATTTTCCAGTATACTGTCTCATTTTTGGCCTGTAATTTGCCCCAGTGAGGAAGACTTTGGGTTCTGTCTTCTAGCTGAAATACACCAGAATCAATAAAAACAATAATTACTGATCTTTGCTTAAAGCTTAAATTTAAGTGCAGCTCAACCGTAGAGTAACTGCTGGCTCAGTGTAATGTGACCAGGTTTGGTGTCCTGCTGGGGGCCTTCGACAATATACTTCATTGTGGTAATACTTTATTAACAGCTTCAGTTCTGCGCAATCACAGGGAGGATTATACCAACATATTGCAGTCTTCAAAATACACATGTATTCAACACATACCCTCAACTCACATACAATGAGAGGCCATACTTAAATGACCATAGTTTTTGAAAGGATGCTGAACAATATAAACCAAACCATCATGTTAATATTTGTAAAACTGGTTGAGATATAGAAGGTTTTCTTGAAACCTCATTGAAACCTGCATATCAATATTGTACAGGAGACACACAAATAAATAATACCTTTCAATACTTATTAAGATAAGGTAGCAGGGCTGGCGATCGCCAATGGCGCCATTGGCGAAAGTGAAATGAGATTGGCGATTTCAACTTTCTATTGGCGAAAATGCCGATTACAGACATTTCCAGTCACCGATGACTGTACAGAGAAAAATCACTGGCGTTTAACTTATTTGTAACGAGTGACACAGGTAAATTTTGCTCCGACATCGTTGTGTACTACACGGTCACGGTTGACTGACTCACGCAGCTGGGGCAAGGTCAGCTATCTGAACTCTTTTGTGTTTTGACAGAAACATTTACCTGTCTAAACAGCAACACGCCTGAAATTATCCAATGATGTCTCCATTGTCTCAATCCGGGATAGCCTCTGCCGTGAACAATAAGGTAAGTTAGCTGAAGGAAAGATGTTGTTTTATTGGGAATGGGCTTACGGTAGGTGGATCATTAGGTGTGTCGATGTCGTTAATTGGGCACGAGTTTGTGATTTCTGCAGACATAACTTAGTAAACTAGTGTATTTGAAAGGGCCCGAAATGGGCTTCTTAATCTTTTTGATCGACAATCAAAATAGCAAGAAACACAAGATATAATTTCGTTGTTTTTACACTATGTTGCCGATTTTGTTTTATATTTTTGTACATATTTTGGTCACATCAGATTTGGCCCTTCACTGAGATAGATCGTTAGATGAAATGGGAAAACGTAAACTCTCCTTTAGTGATAGGGATGGGAAAGTACCAAGATTGTCATCATTTGGTTTTAAGACACCATCTATTGAAAAGGAAAATGATAGTCCTGATCAGGTTACTAACAGGGGCAGTAGTTCAAGAAAGTTTCTAGATAGTTGGAAAATTGGCAGGCCATGGCTAAAATATGACCCAGAGCAAAAGCTCATGTTTTGTGACATATGTATTAAGGCATTAGTTAGAAATAGTTTCACTGATGGCTGCAGTATCATGAAGAAGAAGTGCTTGGTTAAGCATGAGAAAGGATCAGTATATACAGCCTGGAGGATGGTACAATGTAGTTACTCATTACAGCCTGCTTGGCACATGAATTAGAAACTCAATCTTTTAGTTTAACGATTATGTCTTTATTATCTCTGAAGTGTTTTTAAGAGATATATTACTTAGGAAGTTACTGTAATAAGTATAATACTTTGATGGTGTAAAATAAGGTTCGATGTAATCCTGTATCTCTCTGCAAATGTCCAATTCTATTCTAAATTTTATTTTCAATTTTACAGATGAGAACTCTCACTATGCTGCTTTGGCAACACAACAGCAAACTGTCGAGATGCAGAAGGCCTGTAATAATTCCATGTTTATAAACTCTTTTACCATATACTGTGTTATGTTTGATGTATTGTTGTTAAAACAGTGAATAAATAATGTAATTATATAATTAGCATATGTGTTTTTATTATATGAGGAAATTAAGGGCTCGTCGGTTGAGGGTGAGTTCCGGAATCTGTTCGCGCACTTATAGAAAAAAACATTTGGTTTGGCGAAACTGAATTTTGACCCAGAGCTAGCCCTGAGGTAGGGTAGAGCCAAACAATGAATTATATTGCATCATACATCTATTTCGTCCTTCTAGGACTGAAGGTTGAAAAGTATCCAGGAAACATTAGCAAGCTATTGAAGCCCTTTGACCTCCTCACAATACACACATAACCTATTCTCCCTGATCTTGTCAGAACACAGACTATAGGTAGACTCAGTAGATTTAATCATGGCAGGGACAAAAAATATAGCATTACTAGGGTAACAGGAAGCATAATTTTTTTGTAAATAGTCCTTAACATATATCATGGTAATTATATCACATGAATGTACATGTCTGGTTTGATTTTCTGTAGACAATGAACAAGGCCCCTCCAATGTCGACTGATGGAACAGCTATGGTGGCACAGCCATCGCCTATGATGGGGATCGCCCAGCCACCCCTAGGAATGAGGCAGCCCCACCCCAGTCCTGTCCAGATGGCACCTCACCCAACCCCTGTCAGTGAAAACAAAGTCCTAGACAAGCGAAGACTACAGGAATTAGTTAAGGAAGTTGATCCCCTTGAACAACTAGATGATGATGTAGAAGAGGTGAATATAGCCCTTTCATTATGTGGAGATTGATTTGTTCTCAACTTATAGTTGAAAAGACACCTCGTCAACATAAGTGATATATCAGTTTTTTTAATGAATTCCTGTTTTATATTACTGCTATACAAAGAGTCAGCTTTTCAAAGAGTCAGTTCTCATGTACGTCCAGAACCTATATTGGTCAAACTTATGTGGGTGGTAATTAAAAATTATCATCATATCTGGGCAAATTATTTCTTTTCTGTGATTGTTCAAGACATTAAATTACAAATTTTTACAAACTATGGTATTTTGTGAAGTAATAGGTGATTTGAATCATTGTTATTGTGTCTAGGTATTACTTCAAGTGGCAGATGATTTCATAGACAGTATAGTCAACTCTGCCTGTCAAATTGCCAAACACAGAAAGTCCAGCACTTTAGAGGTCAAGGACGTACAGCTCCATCTTGGTAAGTCACTTGGTTTCGGACTCCAGATAAAGGCATCACTTCACCTCAGTAAGTCTCTTGGTTAAGCACTCCAGACACAATGACATAACACTTCACCTCAGTAGTAAGTGTCTTGGTTTAGGACTCCAGACACAAGGACATAACACTACACCTTAGTAATTCTCTTGATCTAAGACTCCAGACACAATGACATAACACTTTACCTCAGTAAGTGTCTTGGTTTAGGACTCCAGACACAAGGACATAACACTACACCTTAGTAATTCTCTTGGTCTAGGACTCCAGACACAAGGACATAACACTTCACCTCAGTAGTAAGTGTCTTGGTTTAGGACTCCAGACACAAGGACATAACACTACACCTTAGTAATTCTCTTGGTTTAGGACTCCAGACACAAGGACATAACACTTCAACTTAGTAAGTGTCTTGGTTTAGTACCTCAGACATAAGGACATAACGCTTCACGTCAGTAAGTGTCTTGGTTTAGGACTCCAGACACAAGGACATAACACTTCACGAGAAGCCCTTGAATATATACAATGCATATAAATAAATTTCAAAAATAGGAAAATCAGAATAGTCACGCTCAACATGAAGTTTCCAAATGCTATAAGATTGAATATTGGTTTCACTTTTACTGGAAACAAATTATTTGTACTGAAAATATACAACTCTTTTCCACATATTGCAGACAAGGGCCCGTGAAATTGATGAATTACAGGTATCTGTTGTGTATTTTAAATAAAAAAATCAATTGAATAATTAATCCAAATATTTTTCTTCAGAGAGGAATTGGAACATGTGGATTCCTGGATTTGGATCTGATGAATTACGGCCATACAAGAAGGCTTGTTCTACAGAGGCTCACAAACAGGTAGGGGGCCACTATCACCGACTGTAGGGGGCCTCTATCACTGACTGTAGGGGGCCTCTATCACTGACTGTAGGGGGTGCTATCACTGACTGTAGGGGGCCTCTATCACTGACTGTAGGGGGCGCTATCACTGACTGTAGGGGGCCTCTATCACTGACTGTAGGGGGCGCTATCACTGACTGCAGGAGGGCATTGTCACTGACTATCACTGACTGTAGGGGGTGCTATCACTGACTGTAGGTGGCGCTATCACTTACTGTAGGGTGCGCTATCACTGACAGTAGGAGGAGCTATCACTGACTGTAGAAGGTGCTATCACTGACTGAAGGGGGCGCTATCACTGACTTTAGGGGGAGCTATCAATGACTGTAGGGGGAACTATCACTTACTGTAGGGTGCCAATATCACTGACAGTAGGGGGAGCTATCACTGAGTGTAGGGGGCGCTATCACTGACTTTAGGGGGCGCTATCACTGACTGTACAGGGTGCTATCAATGACTGTATGGGGCACTATCACTGACTGTAGGGTGCGCTATCATTGACTGTAGGGGGGGCTATCACTGACTGTAGGGGCACTATATTTAGTTTTAGGGGGCGCTATCAATGACTGTAGCGGACACTATCACTGACTGTAGGGGACACTATCACTGACTGTAGGGGGCGCTATCACTGACTGTAGGGGGTGCTATCACTGACTGTAGGGGCACTATAATTAGTTTTAGGGGGTGCTATCACTGAATGAAGGGGACAATACCACTGAATGTAGGGGACACTATCATTATTTTAGGGGTACTATCACTGAATATGTAGGAGGGCACTATCACTAAATGTAGGGGACACTATCACTGACAGTAGGAGGCAATATCACTGATTGTAGGAGGACACTATCACTGACTGTAGGAGGACACTATCACTGACTGTAGGTAGGATCACTAGAGATAGAATCACTGTAATCACTGACTGTAGGGGAGCTGACTGTGGTAGAGATAGAATCATCACTGACTGTGGTAGAGGGGTGACTGTGGTAGAGATATCACTGACTGTAGTAGAGGAATCACTGACTGTGGTAGAGATAAAATCACTGACTGTGGTAGAGATAGAATCACTGACTGTGGTAGAGATAGAATCACTGACTGTGGTAGAGATAAAATCACTGACTGTTAGAGATAAAATCACTGACTGTTAGAGATAAAATCACTGACTGTGGTAGAGATAGAATCATTGACTGTGGTAGAGATAGAATCACTGACTGTGGTAGAGATAGAATCATTGACTGTGGTAGAGATAGAATCACTGACTGTGGTAGAGATAGAATCACTGACTGTGGTAGAGATAGAATCACTGACTGTGGTAGAGATAGAATCATTGACTGTGGTAGAGATAAAATCACTGACTGTGGTAGAGATAAAATCACTGACTGTGGTAGAGATAAAATCACTGACTGTGGTAGAGATAGAATCACTGACTGTGGTAGAGATAAAATCACTGACTGTGGTAGAGATAAAATCACTGACTGTGGTAGAGATAAAATCACTGACTGTGGTAGAGATAAAATCACTGACTGTGGTAGAGATAGAATCACTGACTGTTAGAGATAAAATCACTGACTGTGGTAGAGATAGAATCATTGACTATAGAAGGTGCTGCAACTTACTGTAAAGGTAATATTATTTATAGGGGAACTAATATTAAATGTGTGGAGCACTGTCACCGACTTGTAGGCAATATCGTTGACTGTAGGGGGTACTGTAGTTGTATCTTGAAACAGTTCTTCCCATTGATCTCAATTTTGTTTTGTTTGAATTTTTCAGAGAATGGCTCTCATACGCAAGACCTTAAAGAAATATTGAATTTTGCCTGTGATGTTCATGGTGTAGTACCTGTATCAGAGACATAGTTCGGTGATGTTATAAGTGTGTCTAGCGTGCTAAGCTAGGACTTGGCAGTATGACTTAGGAACGTATACATGTCCAGAGAGAATTAAGTGGATGTATATTATGATGAAGCTGTGTGTGAGCTTAGCTATGTATTAAAAAGACTGACTAGTCAATAGGTTTGTACAGTGATGACAATTACACACAAAGTGTTCCGAAGAAATACATTCGATATCTTACAGGATTTGTAAAAACGTAGAGATTTTCAATTGAAAGCTTTTAAATTCTTATCATTTCATGTCAGATTTTTATTTCATGATCATTGCCACAATTTTTGAAGTACATTTCTGTAGTTTTCCACATTTTACTAGACTCAATCCATTGTCATTTTTTCACATAGGGAAAATATTCTTTCACTTGCACTTGGAAAACATCTTGAGAGTGTTTTTATCATCAAAATGTCATCAAAATGATTTCATCGTCCTTAACATCATGACATCAGTATTGAAACACATTCCGTGCAGCTGTCAGAAACTGTGGTGTATTGTGTTAAATGTCACAAATTTGAGTATTGGTTAAGAAAATCTATTAGTGAAAATATTGGGATCTACTCCTGTTCTACTTAAGTTTCAAAACATTTTTTATTTTACTTAGGGCTTGTCATTACATTGTTTTGTGCAAATGATTTTATTTTTTCCAAGACAGCACCCATCATACTACTTGATATAAATAGAGAAAATTTTTTTTTATTGTCACACTCCACAAAGCCTCGTGATGAAAACACATAAATGGAGATTTCTCTGTCTTCATCTGTATCATGTTCATCACACAGAGGGACCCACCTTTAATAATTGTCACAACACAATAGTAAAACCTTGTTATAACATTCTGTTTTGATACTGTTTTTGACATTTCAGTTTTAAACACAAGAATACTACTTCAGTAGAAAGTTTAAAGTGCTAGATTACACACAATATTAGTGTATTGTGTGGTGTCTTGGTAGAAAATTATACCAACATTTATGGGTGTCTAGAAATTTTAAATTCTCAGGAATATCTTGCATGACAAATGCTATTTTATATAGTACCCAGTTCATGTGGGAATGAAACTGACATTATTTCTGGTTTTATTGATTTTTTGTCGGGTTGGACATTGGGGTGGGGGGGGGGTCAGATTCATCCTATAACATGAAGTTAAGGTGATTTATACAAACTAATTTAACTTGCAATCATTGACTAAAATGCATTGGGCTTCATCACAATTCATATTATCATTAGACTAAGATAAAATTCTTATGGAGTTTGAGTGCTGAGAGTTGACTGAGTAAGTGAGTAATTTTTCATATTGTATTTAAAAATAAAGCATTTGCTAAAATAAAGACAGTTTTTCATTTTCTATACATCCTACATACCAGCTGAAAAGTTGTTTGATCAAAAGAATTCTCCAGTTACTCTGTAGGTTAGATGAATTGTTATTCAAGGTAACGTTGTGCAATATGGAAATCATGTACATAGATAAACTTATTTATTTTACAACAATTGCGGAACAAGCTTTAAGCTTATATAATCACTCTTGTTGGTTGGTCCCATGGAAGTAGGCGGATGGAGTGTTACTGTGGGAGGAAACCGGAGTACCCGGGAAAACCCACGTGATCGGCAGGTGAGCTAATGTATTTTCACATCCATTTTGGGATTAGAACCCCAGACAGCTAGGTGAAAGGCGTGTGTTTGCCACTATGCAAACCGACTACCATAACAATCATATACCTGGTATGTTTAGTAGAGGATGAAAGATCAGGTGCATGTATATTAAAATAGATTTATATGCTAGGATGCTACAGATTTCAGTGTATTAGAGCAGGGTGTTTTTCATCACTCCTTCTTATAAAATATATGACCATTATTTTCTCTTAATTTCATGCTTCAGAACGTTTTGATAGTGAGAGACTATCTACATTGTGTGGTGAAGTTTATATTCAATATATTTATGTTAGATGGGCGGGTCTTTACGACGCGATTCGTGAAGTGATATGTTATATACACCAGGACGTCTTGGTGATAATTACCTTCCCTACTTGTGACATGTCTTCAAATACCACATATATAATGGTACATTAAGTGTTTAATGCATGTCTGCACCCAAAAAAAATCGACTAATTATATGTATCTTTAATGGAGAATTTATCGACAGTGGTTTAATATTTTACATCTTCGTCTTACCTACTTAGAGTTATAGTTGTACGGCTAATCAACAATCTTTAGGTGCATTGACTAAATCTACCCATGAATATCAAACATCACGCTTGTAAATTGAATCGTACGTAACACCGAGAGACAGACAGACATACATAGCCACAGGCAGCGAAATACATCTAGAAAGACACAGTTGTAGAAAGACGAACAAAAAGACATGAACAATCTTAAAGACAAAGACAGACGGATATAGACACCCATAACACGGTAACGGACAGAAAATACACATACAAAATCATATATACCGTTATCCGGACAGACACATGCAGACGGACGGACGGACGCCTAAACGTACGTAAAATCGTAGTTGCACACACTTCGTGCCGAAAAAAAACAAAGAGGATGAAAGAATAAAACTATAGAAAAAGTTGAATAAGACAATTATTCAGATTTTATTGTGGTATAAAATTCCGGACTTTATCTCCGTTTATCTGACTTATTTAATTATTTTTAAAATGGTATCGTCATGTATCACGGGATAGGTAACGTATATTGAACGTATATAAAACAGAACCGCTTAACCGGAACCCAACAGCTTCATAATCTCACCATATTTCAGCTTTCTCGTTGCTTATTTTAAACATGGATACATCCCGATAGATTGGTTTGTTTTATTCGTTGCATCGAATTTTAAGTGAAACAGCACCATGTATGCAAATATCTCTAAACCCACTGAGAAATACACCTTATAAAGGATGTTGGTCGTGTCCCTGTAAGAGAAAAGAGACCTTATAAACGTCACCACGTCCAAATTTGACAACGTATTTAAATGAGTAATTTAAATATGCAAATTAGATTTTACCCGATAATTCCGGTCAACGCGTGATGAAAACTACGTATCAAAAAACGAATTAACAAGGACTAGAAAAATTGTTGTTTTTTGGAGATTTGAATTAAAATCGAGAAATGTAAAGTTACTTATGGTATCACTTTCACATTCTATTAAAGCAGTGAAGTGAAATTGTTTATTTTTCGTAATCTGCGACATGCCAGTCATCATCATCTAATTTCAGGATAAAGTTTTGTATAATTGTGTATAATTTATGTAAAACACACACTGAAGATGCCATCTTCTAGTATGATACACGTTGTCTGACTTATGACGTTTAATGAATTGATGAATTTGCTCTCTCTTTGTGTGTCTGTCTCTCTCGCTCTTTGTATGGTGTGTGCGTGTGTGTGTGTGTGTGTGTGTGTGTGTGTGTGTGTGTGTGTGTGTGTGTGTGTGTGTGTGTGTGTGTGTGTGTGTGTGTGTGTAAGGGTGTGATTGTGTTGGAGAGAGAGAGGGGGGAGAGAGAATATCAATTAATGTAATGTATCATGGTAAATATGCATTTTGAACCTTTAAATTTGTTTACACATGTGTGTGTTTTATTGAAGGGACGGGACTTTGCTTAAATAGTATAATAGCTTGTGTCCAATCTTGCTACAACACAATATAATATGTTTAGATCTAACGATCTCAACTCTCGTCTACATAGATACCAGATCCAAGTCCACCTTCTCACTTATCTAATCTACTAAATGAACCCCCGTCGAGATCTTCCTCGTGTCATTTATGTTTTTTCCACATGATTAGAAGTTCAAACGTTTAATAACCTAATCAGTAATTGATCCACTATTTTTTTTTTCAGATATAGATTTGGTTAAACATTGTTTCTCCAGCCAGTCCATGAGAGATTTTCCTATAAGAGAAATCTGCCGCAATTTCGCGGTATCAATGAAAAATATTAATATATTCAAATACACGTGGACGAATGTGCACAGACTTTCAATGTCGGGATTTTTCCCGATGTGGATGAATGTTTTAACATGTAAACTTGTAATTGTTGAAGATGATGACAGTCCGAAATGACCTGCTAAATGATGTCATTTGTCTCCTTCACAATTACGAACGTATCTGTTACGTGTCTTGTATAAGTCAATCGACGTAAAACCTGTTTTGGCTTAAAGGGTTATGCTGCAGCTGTAAACCCAATCTTGTCCGGCTGTTTGCCTGGTAGTTCGACAGAACATGTTACTGCAGCTGGAGACTCAATCTTGTCCGGCTGTTGGCCTGGTAGTTCGACAGAACATGTTACTGCAGCTGGAGACTCAATCTTGTCCGGCTGTTGGCCTGGTAGTTCGACAGAACTTGCTACTGCTACCTACAGGAAACAATACGGTCACAAATGAAATGAAGCACAGACACCGTTTTCTGTTTAGAAATATCAACAGACAATCAAAAGATGAAATCCCATTGATACTACAAATATTTACACTTTGATATATGAAGTATTGGTATAACTGTATTTTTGAATGTGGCGCCGCTGAGTCATGACGTGAAACCAATATAACTAGATCACCATATCAAAAAGAGATATGTGAAAAGAAAAGCAGAAGCATTTAATTGCGTGGCTATTTTAGCAAATTCTGTTTTCATACTTTGTGGGAAAATGAAAAGAAAATAACAAAACAAAAAAACAACACTCACGACTTCCACTCGGGCACAAGGCAAAGACGAAATCTATGGATGTGAACTTACAGATTTCTCTGCTAATGGTAACCAAACCGATGCTTCGGTTAGGCACTGATGACAAGGAGCTCTGGAGCCTTCTGTTGTCAGCATCGTCAGGTGGATTCCAACCATCATCAGCCGTTTCAACCCCTATTCCACGACGTCCTCTGGTTGGAGGGTCAGCAGTGGTGATCAATCACTGCTTGCTGTTGTCTGGACTCCAGTTTGGCTCATCTCGTCTACACCATAGCCAGCATGATGCTCTCTCAGCCCTTTCAGCCAAGGTCTTAATAACTGCTTTCCTCTTTGCTCCTGTCAGTCCACTTTCTGGCACATCTTCCATACTGACTGTGCAGGGAATCTTCTGTCACCGACCTCTACTGGAAACAGCCATGTGTTCCATCCCTTTTGTCTGCACTGCTCTACTACCTCTTGGTATTTGCCAGGTTTCTTCTCATGTGCCTCATCACACCCTTCTTCCCATAGAACTGTCAGCTCCACCAAGATGACCTTTTGGCGCTGTTGCGACCATAGCACAATGTCTGGTCTCAGAGTGGTTTGCACTTCATCAGGAAAGACGAGACGCTTGTTGAGGTCTGCTCTCATTTCCCAGGATGGTGCTTGGCTGCGTACATTCACACGATATGCAGTAGCAGTTGATGGTCCCTTCTCTCCAGCTCTCATAAACTGTATGTGGGTTGTTTTATGAGGTTGTCTCAGTGACCTCTTCTGACACCGCTCCTTTTCCAGAATATCTGCTAGGATGAATGGAATTCCCACTAATACGAATAATTTAAGAGTTAGTACTGCATTGCTGTATAATGTTACGCGTCAATTTTTAGCGTTTAGTTATTAATGTACCGTAACATTTATGAACTTTGAATAAATATAATCTTTTATTTCGGAAATAAGGAAACACGTAGTGTGAACAACTGGCCTAAAGGGAAACAAAGTTTGGGCCAGTTTGTACTTCTATGGTCAGTCGAAGTGTGGGCCCGGGTCAAATTAGAGTGGGGGAAATCACGTGTTACAATGAAAACGACAGCTGCAAATTGTCACGTCTTTATTAGACAACCAGTGGTGTTATGGGTAATTGATTATGATGTGCAAGATTGTAAATTTTCAACGAGTTTATGTTTACATGAGTTTTAAAACATTATCGTAAAAGTTTTATTATATTCTTTTCATTTTTAATATCTTTAAAGATGATTTTATATGCACATGAAAATTTGAAAAGATAATTTGTGGGTAAAGACAGTTGTCATTGCGTGCTGTGTAAGTGTATTGTGTGTTTTATTGATTTAGACCTATTTTATTGCACATAAGTAGCAATAGGATTGGGCACAAGCTAAAAGCCTTTTAAAAATATTAATAAACGTATATGATATTTACAAGTCAGATACAATA